CCCGCCGGTTCACGACAGATGGTTCATCGACGGTGAAAACCCACCGATCCATCTCCCCTTCTCTGATTCCTCCCAATTCATCGAACGCTTCTCCCCGCCGGTTCTTCGGCAGAGATTCTTCCATTTCTCAACGGAATCTATAGCGACGCTGAAAGAAAAAGCGAATAGTGAGATTAAAACTGGGGAGAATCAGAATCAGAATCGAATCATAATCTCCTCTTTCCAAGCTCTCAGCGCGATGATATGGAGGGCGATAACCAGAGCTCGAGGATTCCCACCAGAGCAACTGACGAGCTGCCGTTTAGCTATACAGAACCGAGGAAGACTCCGGCCGCCTCAATCCCCGGCGTACTTCGGAAACTCGATATACGCGGTGGCGGCGACGGTGGCGGCGGGGGAGTTGGAGGCTAATGGGATAGGATGGGCGGCAAGGCAACTGAACAGAGCGGTCACAGAGCATACGGACGAGGCGATACGTCAAAAGCTGAGAGAATACCACGTGGCGCCGGTGGTGTATAAGATGACGTTCTTTGATCCGAAGAGCGTGATGGTGGGGAGTTCGCCGAGGTTCGATATGTACGGCTGTGACTTCGGGTGGGGGAAGGCGGCGGCTGTGAGGTGTGGTCCGGCGAACAAGTTCGACGGAAAGGTGTCGGCTTTTCCTGGCAGGGAAGGAGGTGGGAGCGTTGACTTGGAGATTTGTCTTGTTCCTTCATTCATGGCGGCTTTGCTTCTGGATCAAGAGTTCTTGGACTCGGTTTCTGTGCCTTCGGGGAAGCTTGGTGATGGTCTTCAAAATTAAAAAAAAAAAAAAAATCTGTCATGAATTTTAGAATTATTGAGAAAATTAAGAAATAAATTTTGGGTCAGAATTCAGAAAATTGTTAATTGGGGGTATATTTATTTTGTATTCTATTTTTTAGAGTACATAATTAATATAAAGCTGTGTATTTTTTTTTATTTAATAACATTGAGTATTTTTAATTGAATCTTGATGAAATTAATCTTAAAATTATTTGATTTTATTTAAGATGAGTATATTTAGAGGTGTAAATGAGTCGGACTCGTTAGCCAAATGGCAAGTTCAAACTCAAGTCAGTGGCCTCCCCTGAAAATTAGGGCTGGTTCCACCCGTGACTCAAGTAGAGCTCAATGGGAGAGCACAAATTTGGCTCGTGTCAATGGAAGTAGGGTTTTGAGCATTTTTTTTTAATGTAGGATTTTGAGCTAGCTTGTGAGATTGCAGCAGAAGAACGCGTGGAAGAATTCAGGGCAGTGAGAAATTATTTCGTGTGGAGTATGGATAGGAAGAACAATCCGGATTGTGAGTGTATACACTGTATGCATGTCCGGACATTGATTTGATACTCATTGTATAAATATGTACACAGTGTATACACTCACATGTCCGGACGTTTTTTTTTTAGTTCGAACTCTACACAGAATAATTTCAGCACTAGCTCGACTTGTACTCAATAAGCTCTGCCATGAGCTAATTATTGAGTTGAATTGGCTCCACTCATTTACACCTTTAAATATACTATATGAGAAAATAATTAAAATATATAATGCTTATTTTAAAAAATAAATAATTTTCAGAATAATTATGATGAAATACTTTTTGGTCAGTAAAAAGTTGTGATTGTTTAAAATGTATTTCTCTTTATCATCATAAATGTTAATATGGATTTAAAAATTATGCATATTATTAGACATATATGTAAAATATTCAAAGAAATAAATTTAAATATTTTTTTATTAATATTTAAATTTAGCAAACAACTTAAATAAAGCCTAATGAATTATATCAATATTTATTGAAATATATAAATATAATTAAGCTATATATTTATATTATTATCATAAAAATGTACAATAATTAGTTCTAATTAAAAGTTGATTTAGAAAGAAATAAGTTTCATCTCTATAGCTTGAACACAAAAATATTGATGAATTTTGTATTAATTCTAATCATAATAAATAGTTAAATACAACCCCACATTATAGCTAATTATGATGAGACAAATCTCATCAAACACACAAAGAGATAAATAAAAAGAATTAATGAACTATAACACAAAGAGATAAATAAAAAGATAAAAAATGGCACTGAATTTTTGAAAACTATTTTATGCCTTTTTATCTTAGAGATGACAAAATTATTATAATTTTTTTTTTCGGATATTTAAGTCAATTAAGTCAAATTCATTCACATCACATACCTAAGCTTCAAACTTAAAACCTCTTAATCGAGAAAAATTATTACGTGCGATGTCCGGAACCATCTGGAGGTGTTCTAGATGCTTTGCGTCACCCAATACACAATACATTGGCCTCTGGGCATGTCCGAATTGACCTCCGAACGTATCCAAATTGACCTCCGGACGTGTTAGAACTTTGCACGGGATAATCTCTTCTTAATTGATAGCCAAATCTTCATAAGATTTGATTGAAAATAAGTAGCTGGCACCACATGTGAGCTACTCACGGGCTTGAAATAAAGAGATAAGCACACGTTTTGTTTTTTGTTTTTTTTTATTTAATAATAAAGTATTTGTTTTTTTATTATTGAATAATGTGCACATGGAATATTATCAGGTTTATTTTGGCCTGTTACAAAGAAATAAATAATAAAAAGATAGGGCTATGCTTATCAAAATTAATAGTAGATTTGAAGATTAGGGATAACTATAGATAAGCTTATATCTATTATTAATTTAAAGATGAGAAATTTATAAATTATAATTTTATTATCGTTGTTTGAGTAAATTTCTTTCATAATTTTTAAATTTTGCTGATATGTTATCATTTTATTATTATTATTATTATTTTTCAACAATTAACTTAGTGGTATTGAATTAATCAAAAAAATTGATGCATTGAAAGTATGATTTTATGAGAGAAACGTAGTACTAGTTCATTTGATTTGTTTTCAATTTTTTTGCTGCATTTTTTTATATTTTATTATTTATGAAGATTAAGATTTTGTTTGGGATAACTTTTTATTACTTTCTAAAATAATTTTTTAGTACTAAAAAATTACTTTAAAAAACACTAAAAAAACTATTACAAAGAAAGCCTAAGATTTTATTTAGAACAATTTTCTTAATAATTTTCTTTTTAGACACTAATCACGATTTTTTCTCTAATTTCAAATTTTGTGTGCTAGAAATCTATTTACTATAACAATTTTTTTAAAAAAGATCTTTCTCCAAAATAGCATTATAATTAACATTATAAAAAATAAAAAGTCCCAAACATGCCCTAAACCCTAAATTACACAAATAAATTGATTCTTTTTTAATTATAAATGTTCTAATATTTACAAAAACAAAAATATCATAATTGCATTTTTTCCCCTAAGAAATGATATGATGTAAAGCAAAAATAACAAAATATTTCTCCATGCATTATATTTTACATAAATATGATAATGTGTGGTCTTCTTATTATCAAAGAGAATGTTGAAAATCTCTCATCATATAATTATTTATGAAATAATCCTTAAAGTTGAAAGGCCCATTTAAAATAATAAAAATTCCATAAAGATAAGGATGGCCCAAAAATTTTGGCCACATGTCACCAATCACAACTATTGTTCTTGCAATTGGACTCTTAAGTGGGGCAAATTATTGCGTCCGGTGTCCAGATTCATCCGGACACCAATCCGCTATCGACATGTCACCCAAATACATATGATCCAGTGTATTTCGGTGACGTGGCATCACCGGATTGGATGTCCGGACAACCGGTGACCAGACGCAATAATTCGCCCTTAAGTGGACACCTGTTTTTGTCCCCTTGCCCTATGTGTTTTCTGAGGATTCTCATGCAGACAACTGCCATTGCAGCTCCTTTTGTTTTCTAATAACTTAGCTGTCTATGGATATCTTTTAAATTAAATAATATTATCTACTAATCTAGATGTGAATGCTTAAGATTTTATTAGGATGGTTTTCTTAATATTTTTTAAAAATAAATTCAATACAAAATTTCTACTTACAATATTTTCTGTTCTTAAAAATGATTGCAATTTTTTGTAAAGATGTAATAAAAAAATGTATTAAAAGAGTTGATAAGTTATCATATCTCAAAAATTATGATTAGATAAATTTTAAATTTACTAGATTTATTTTAATATAAAAACTTATTAATTTTAATTTATTACTGATATGGCTCACAAAAATCAGTACTGCATATCTGTTAAAAAATTTTAAAATTTAAAATATTCTCATCGAATTAATTTAAAAACTACTATAGTATGTAAAAATAATTAAAATTTAAAATTGCAATTATCATAAGATAAATTTTATAATTTTAAAATATATTCTGATTAAAAAAATTCATCAGAATACTCTCTCAAGTCTATGCACTTATTTCATAGATTTCCCCTTCAACGGTCCATCCGCGTGCTTCAGCTACCCCCTTCACTACCTATTCAAAAACATATAATAATAATAATTTTTAATTTTAACAAATAATAATAATAATAATGTTTAATTTTTCAAAAGATGACTGCGCTACAAGTAAGATTATGGAGCATGTGTTACAGGAAGATGAATACGACAACACATGCAAGGTTATAATGATGATGATGATGATGAGGACCTAGATTACGGAGAAGTTATTCTATGCGGACACCAGACCGTTCGGAGGCGAATCAAAATGCGCCATGTCACCCGGTACACAGCCGCGATACACAGCAAATGGGTGATGCATGCACTTTCTAATTCGTCTCCGGTTGACATCCGTATCCGCACAAAATAATTTCACTAGAATAAGACGATTGTAATATAATGCGAGATTGTAACATAGATATTATAACAGAACATGATGTATGTCTTACTGCACATATGACCTCATAAGAATACTTGAAAGTATAGTGCTGCTCATCAAATTCCAGAATTTCCAAATATTCAGAATTCTCTAATTTTCAATATGCCTAAATGAGCTATAAATGAAAATCTATAGATAAAATTTGAGAAAAAAAAAATCTAATATTTAGTCTAAATCTCTGAAACTCCTCAAAATTATAAAAAAATAAGTAACATAGATAACTAATTATCAACAATAAATAGCACAGAGCAGACATTAGTATGCTCAGAATATAATCAAACAATAGAACCATAAGCAGCTTTAACTTAAAAACTATCCTGCAACTGCACCATAATTTAAAAGCTTTAGAACCCCTAACATAAAGCTTTATATATTAGGCCTCTTAAATAACAATGGCATTTTATGATCTTTCAGAAAAAAGAACTTGTTAAGAGGATAGCAGTGTTACCTTGTTGACCAGATTTATATACATTTATTTCCCTTTGTTAAAACAAATTAGGTGATGGTTTACCTGAAATTTATTTGAATGGAGTTAGATAAAGAAACAAATGGTGAAAAAGTGTTGAAAAATCTTCACCTTACCTGAAGGGGTTGTTTTTTTCTTTCTCAGCAATGGAAGTTCAGGCTTGTTTCTTCAACACTCTCATAAGATTTGAAGTTTTGATAAAATTAAACACCAAATACAGGTAGAGCGAACTTCACAAATGAATAGCACAGAGCACCTGTGAACAAATAACTATCCAGTCTATCAAGCACACCTCCTGCAAAAAACACAGAATCACAAGTTACTGGCTTTTACTAGAGATGCAAATGGAATAGAGAGTCCAGACTTCAATGCAAATGATCCTATTGATAGTTAATGAAGTGAGTTGACTGGTTAACATAACATTAAATAAGAGAAAAAAAATCAAAATGGTCATTTATGAAGAATCAAAATGATCCTAACTATATTAAATGACCATTTGGTCACTCAAGTCTTTAAAGAGGAATCAAAATAGTTCCATGGTATGACTATTTTTATTCCTCGTTAAGAAGTTGAGGGATTAAAATGATCCTTTAATATAGTTGAAGATTGCTTAGTGTTTCACAAAAAGTCAAAGGATCATTTAGATCCTTTTTTTTCATTAAATAAAAGAGAGAACACTTTCTATGGGGTAATTGGGACAAAGTATCGTTATATATTTGGAAAATCCAGTGGTATAAGGCTTAAATCACATCATAAACCCAAAATGTATTCTCAATCCAGCCAAAACATGACTTAGCAAAATCTTGACAACTTTCTTTAGCATAGCCATTTCATCTTTAGAAGTCGCAAACCAAAAAGCATGGGTATACTCTTATTTTTCCTAGTTTCTATAATTATTATGCTGTTATTTTGAATAAATAATAAAAATAACAAAAAAACCAATGTAATATTTGATTATACAATACAACAAAAATGTCCAAATATTTTAAAGATATGTTTAAGATGAACTGAATCGTTATATTTGTATGTAACTGCTATGATCCAGGAAGCAACTTTTCTCTTCTTTCCCGGACAAGATCTTTTTTCGTTATCCCTGGTTCTTCTGCATTCAGCAGGCTTAAGCTCAACTTCAAATCCTCATGTCAATAACTACTAATTTGGGATCAATTTATATCAATTTTTATCAATTTCTTCTTGAAGGACTATTTGGGATTAATTTTGTATAACAGATGAATTAAATTGGAAAAAAATTGATAAGGGACTAAATTTGCCATATACAAATATTTGTGGAGTATTTTGGGCCTTTTCCTTATCCCACTAACAAAGATCATGCATCTCATAATAGCTAAATGATCCTAATATTCATCAGTATGATTATTCGACTCAAAAACGTGGAAAATTCATGTAGCCGACCCCACTTGGTTGGATAAAGGCTTGATGTTGTTGTTGTTTCATTTTAGAGGTGAATAGACAAAAACATTTAAGAGATTATTTAGATTGGGATGTTGTATTGAAGTTGCTGATGTAGGGCCTCCTGAATTACCGAACACCTTGCCGCCCTTGAGATCAATTCAGCATTTCAGCATAAAATAAACCTCGTTCTTGGGTTAGTCCTCCCAAACCTTCCCCACTATAAGATGAGTCCCAATGAGCATGAGTTGCATAATCTGGTGAATGAGTTCGTGGCAAAGCAGTTGGTCCAACCGAGCATAAGCCCCAGTGCAGTTCCATCTCTATTGGTTCCGAAGAAGGATGGAAGCTGACAGATGTGTGTGAATAGCAGGACAATCAATAAGATCACTGTTAAATTCCGATTTCCAATTCCAAGGGTTAATGAATTGCTAGATAAGTTATCCAGAGCGGCAATATTCTCCTAGCTTAATCTTCATAGTGGCTACTACAAAATATGCATTTGCTCGGGGGATTAATGGAAGATGGCATTTAAGACTCGACAAGGTTTGTATGAATGGAGGGTGATGCCATTTGGATTGTGTAACACCCCATCTACATTTATTCGACTCATGAATGAACTTTTGAAGGCCTTTTTGGATAAATTTTGTGTTGTGTACTTTGATGACATACTTGTCTATAGTCCTGATCTCAAAGCCCACTTGCAGCACTTGACGGCGGTAATTGCTGTCTTGAGGCAACACAAACTCTATTTGAAGTTTTGAACATCCCTAAGTGTGACCTTGCAAAATCAAAAGTGTATTTCTTAGGCTTCCTTGTCTCAGTTGCAGGTATAAATGTAGATCCTCGCAAAGTTTCGGCTATAACTGAATGGACGGTACCTCGATCGACTCAAACATCCGCAGCTTCCACGGGTTGGCAAGTTTTTACCGTTGATTCGTGCGAGGTTTCAACATTCTAGAAGCACTACTAACTGATGGACTAAAGCAGAAAACGTTCCAGTGGACTGACACTCAACAGAGAAGTTTTGATTCAATCAAATCAGCTCTTAGTTCAACTCCCGTCTTGACTATCCTTGGCTTTGAGTGACCCTTCCATGTGGATACGGATGCATCCATGACCGGCATAGGCGCGGTGCTCTCATGAGATGGAAGGCCTATTGAATTTTTAGTGAAAAGTTGAGTTCTTCACGGCAGAAGTGGACAATATATAAATAAGAATTGTATGTTATTGTTCGAGCCTTAAAACAATGCGAGCATTACCTTCTACATCAGGATTTTGTGCTTAGCAGCGATAATCAAGCGTTATAGTACAATAACAGTCAAAAGAACATCAACAGGATGCATGCCTGATGGATCCTATTTCTGCAGCGATTTTCATTTGTGTTAAAACACAAATCAGGAACAAAAAATCAAATTGTCAATGCTCTGAGCCGCTGATAAGCATTGCTAACACAATTACAAACTGAAATTACATGTTTACAATGTTTAAAAGACCTCTATGCCGAAGACATTGATTTTGGTAGCATCTGAACGTGTAACATCCATAAAGGCAGCCCGGACATCACAATACGCGACGGGTTTCTGTTCAAACAGAACATGTTATGCATTCCTGACTCATCTTGGAGGCAATACCTGATTCAAGAGATCCATGGTGGAGGGCTAGCCACACACATGTGAAGAGACAAGACAATAGCTCAACTACAAACACCGTTCTTTTGGCCACACCTGCGAAGAGATGTAACCAAATTCATTGAGCAGTGCGCAATTTTCCAATTATATAAAGGAGAAAAAAATATTGGGCTTTACACACCACTCCCTGTCCCCGGCTCCATATGGGAGGACCTTAGTCTAAATTTTGTGCTTAGCCTACTGAAAATAAAAAAGGGTCGGATTCTATCATGGTTGTGGTAGACTGTTTCTCCAACATGGCTTACTTTATAAAGTACAAGAAGACATTCAATGCCCACAATATTGCTCGTTTGTTCTTCCATAACATTGTGTGTTTACATAGTATTCCTCGCAGCCTCACTTCCGACAAGGATGTCAAATTTATAAGCCATTTTTGGGGTGAGTTATGAAAACGGATGGAACTGAACTCAAGCTAAGTTCTGCTGACCACCCTCAAACAGATGGTCAAATCGAAGTAATGAACACAACATTAAGTAATATGCTTTGTTGTTTGGTCCGCGAGCATCCAAAACAGTGGTGTCAGTTCTTGGGACAGGCTGAATTTGCGTATAATTCAATGCCAAATAGATTGGCGGGCCGCTGTCCTTTCAGCATTGTCTACACCAAAATCCCAAACCATGTTGTTGATCTTGCTGTTTTACCAAAATGCACAAGTAAGGCAGTTGCCAACATGACTAATCAGTTTTCAAATATGTTGCAAGATGTCAAGGCAAAGCTTGAGCAATCTAATAGAAGTTACAAACAGCAAGCTGATTTGCATAGGAGAGGCAAAGTATATGAAACGGGGGAACTCGTGCTAGTCAGGCTGCACAAGGAACGATTTCCTGTTGGCATGTACTCCAAACTCAGCCCGAGAAAGCTTGGACCTGTCACTATTCATAAGAGGATTAATGACAATGCCTATGTTGTTGATCTACCTGCCCATATTCAGAATTCATTTACATTCAACATCGCCGATATTTACCCATTTCATACAGCAAATGAAGGAAAGACTGCTTCAAATCTGTCTGAGTCAGATTCTTCTGCAACAGGGGAGACTTAATGCGGTGCATCAGCTCATTTCTAGTATCTACATTTTCACATTAGTTCGTATTTCTGTTTTAATTAGTTATGCAAGCACTACTATCTCTGCCACCCACTTCCCTTTTCAGTTATAGGTACCATTTTTACCTTTTATTTGTTTAGCTTTTAATAGACTGAGCACAAGTGATATATATACCTAAAATGCATTAAGAAAAGGATATACAAAAATATAATCTACAGTATTGTGAGAACAGCTTTCTCTTCTATTGAGTTCTTTCGGTTTGCTCTTCTCCTTCCCGCGAGACTACTAAGTCAGGAAGGGTAAGACAAAGACAAAGATAAAGAGATGAGGGAGGAAGATGGGGAAAGAAGGGAGGGTGAGCACATACAGGGGAGGGAAGAGGGGAGGGAGAGTGGAAGAGTTAGGGTTAAAAGGGAGAAAGCATAAGTAAGAGGGGTGCAAGACAGGAGAGGACAAGAGACTAAGAGGGAAAATGTGCTCTCTTTTTTTCTGATTTCATTAATATTCAGTGGAGCCTACCACATATATAATTTAATTGCGCATGATATTCTATATTTACGTGGTGATTGTTCCTTGACATTTCTTTATTGTTTCCAGTACAAACTAAAACACCGGTGTTAGTATTTTCAATGCTGATAATTGTACTCGGTACAACTTAAATATCTATTATTGCACAAAACATTTAAACTTGTTATGAATTTAGTGCTGCTCAAAAGGCACATATATTTCAGGAAATTTGGACATGAAAACATTCAGACATGATAAGAGCATACACATTTTTCATTATAAATTATTTGCAGGGAGAAGCCATGATTCAGTGCAGAAAACTTAAGCAGTAAAAATGGTGATTACCATGCCCAGGTATCAGAGATCCAGAGTCCTTAACACCAGCATCACGTTTAATCATTGACTCAGTGAGATCCCCAAAGAGAGAACTAATGAAATTCAGAATTCCAAAAGCTGAAGCACTGAATTTTATGAAATAAATTAAAATTGATCCAACAAATATTTCCCAAGAAAAACATAAATCATAGTTTAGCAGAAAATATTGAGTACTGAAATGAATCCATTATCAAAGGATTTGAAGATATGGAAATGGAAAGTTAAGAGAATCATTTGAAGTGCAACATAGATAATGAAAACTACAGCATGCAACTTATGTTAGAGAAGCAATTCTTCATATTCCTATAAAAAATGAAAAGATGTGAAAACAAAAACATGTGAAACTTGATATTTGGAAGGATGTTTCCCTATATAATTTAAACAGAACATAGTAAGTAGCTTAATGCCTTAATCTAGCAAAAACCTCTTATGTTAAATATGTGAAAACAATCAGAAGTATAGAATATCAAATTTTTTAAAATAAGCTAATATATTATGCATCGATTCCCAATGGATTCCCCATGCAATCAGTGAACAAGTTAAAATTGGAATAGAAGTTAAACTTTAAATTTTTTATGATTATAATAACACATTCAAATAGTATCAAAATACATGTCAATTGTTGTGAAAAATCAAATAATTACTTAAGACAATGCCTTCACTACCGTAACATTTATATTGCAGTTTTAAACAGGTTCGATACATGCTGAACTTTTTAACCATTTTGACACAAACATGAAAGCCACCACCAATAATTCTCCGTTACTTTTTCTTGAATAGATATAAAAGGCATATCAAGATGAATTGAGTTGTTTGATTGGAACAACTAAGCATTCCACCAAATGAAAGCTTAAAACAAGTGGCAAGGAAAGAACATTAATTTTGACAGAAAGCAAAAGATAAAAAAAAAAAAAAATTCTGCGAAGTATAAAGACTAATTCTCACACATGGTTCAGAATGAAAGGAGCTGTAGATCCAAGCCAACATAATAACTTCAACATATCTTGGATACAAATATATAATTTTTTTTTTCTGAACACAAACCAAATCATTCCAGTGGTACTTAACCATATAGATCAACAAAAATCATATGAATGTTTTTCTTGTTCTATTTTTTGAGTAATAGCCTTGAAAATATGTCTATAATGGATATCCCTAGCATAAAATCAAACTAATTCATTGAGATTGACCTAATTCAATCTTCCATTCACCTCCTCCCACAACTTCATTTTATAATCATAAAATTGACTCCCTTCTTAATCAGCATACTCCTTAGAGCCTCCTTTCTTCCTAAATATTGGTATTAATATGCTTCTTCTCCAATCATTTAATGCCCCCCTAAAGGTTGGTTGGTTGGGAGAAAACATACTGTAAAGTTCTAATATGCAAATTAACTTTTGTGTTTGGTTAAAGTTAATGAAGTATAATAAAGTTACTTAACTAGTCCATTTTTTATTCTTCTTCATTAGCCCATCAGAGATCAAACTGGCATACTTCACTTCCTTCATTAAACTATTATAAAGTAAATGCAATCAAATTGTTCACATTAACTTTGCAGGGATTTATTATATTGACACTTAAATACAGGAAACAACACAATCCCTTTAATCTTCACAATCCATTAAAAAAAGTTTGTTAACCAAGCTAATTTAATATCATTAATAACTCTCAAAATTTCAATAGGCAAATTGTTAGAACCCTAAAGTTCTACTATGATGTATCTTCCTAGAGTTAACTCCACCTCACTTCTTTGGACCATTCTATTATATACCTCATTATTTTGTATATGAAAGACTTTCAAAAAGATCTTTTTAAAATCTCATTTATTTTTTTTCTCAAAGTAGCGTTTTAATAGTTCCTTGAAAATTAAAAAAAAAAAGTTCCTTGAAAATTATATTATACCAAAAATCAATATTATAAAAAATTTCAGCGATCTCAATCATGGATAACAGCAAAAAAATTTGATTAGATTATTTAATCAGGCTGCAATGAAGGGATGGCAAACAACCATTCATCCACAACTAAGGAAAACAAAAAAAAAAATGCTCCCATAATGATGAAAGGTGCAACAATGAGAATGCATGTTACAGCAACATCCTACAGTAATTCTCGGAAAGTTAATTAAAACATCCAAAATCTTTAACATAACTTCTAGTTTTCCTCAACAGAATAAAAAAAATAGATGAAAACTTTGCCATCCATGCTTTAACAATTTGGCAGCGACTGCAAGCAGGTGATTGAATATTTACCTTAATAAAGATGAAGGCCAAGATAAAATTCTTGACAGAGAAATTGCAACAACTACACAACCTATTAAACCAGCAAAGGCACCCTCCAAAGTCTTCTTTGGACTGATACTAGTCAATGGAGTCCGACCAAATGCCTGCAAAGCACAGAAACTCATTTCATTCAATATTCTAATAACAAAGCATTAAAAATTAAAAATTAATAGAGATAATGATGCCTAAAGGTAATCAAACTAAAAGAAATGATAAATATTAGTATTTTCATCATTGTACATCATGAACAAGTTTATCTTTTATGATAAACAATCACACTTGGTATACATCAGAAACTTGATTTATTTCATAATATCTAGCCCAAGTTTTATGATTAACTGTTGACCTACCATAGCCCTCTACCTTCCACCTTTTTAATTTGAGCTTGAAATCAACAATGTCGGGTTCTAGAATGGATCATCAATACATAGCTTAATTGGACGGCAGAAAAAGGCACAACAGGATTGCAGATTGCTTGTTCGATAAGAAGCAGCAAATGCATGGTTTCATGGATTAAAAAATGATATAAGTTCAAGTCTTTCAGAAAGGAGCATCTAGCATAAAAAGTTGAACTAGCTTAATGAAAAGACAATTGTACTAAAATATGATTATGCCAGAAAATGAGAGCTCTGGGTTTTCATTAGATCTCATATTTTCGATTGAAGCCAGTACCAGACACTAAGAACACTCTGAAACTTCCAATTTAACTTGTCAAATAGCACAAAGAATCAGAAGTACGAAATCAAGAGCAAATAATTTTCTGCCTGAAAAGAGCAGGAGAGTTATCTCCTCAACAAGTAAACCAGAACGCCAGTCCACCATGCGTGGTATTAGATCCAACCAATTAATTGCAGATTAATATTTAAAGTTTGGGTAAGAAGGGGAGAGATAACTTCCCCGGAATTATTATTAGTTTTAGTTCACAGTGCAGCACATTATAACAAATTTAAGCAAAACACAATTATAGCACAACAACTTCCTAAAATAAGTGATAATCGACATAATTTAATAAATAAACTTATTAATTTTCCGATTTTCCTCAATTTTAAACAGCAGCTGACTTTATCCTTCACAAATAATAATAGAGCTTTAATGCAACACCATGATTATGAATAGAAATAAGGGTTTACATTAAAGAGGTATACGCCAATGAGATCAGAGAAAAGCTGAGAGGAGATAAACTTTTTTTATATGCATCGTATTAAAAACAGCTACAATAGGTGCTCTTTTTATATTGAGCTATCGGTATAGATCCAATACATGTAACAGAAACCGTTTCATGTTAAGAGCTGTGATTGACTTTATGGTTTGAGGTAGAGAGCTGTGATGAGATGCTATGAAAGGGTATTGAACCTTCATGCAATATCTATGACTTGGAATTGATGTTGTTATTAACTCCCCTCAAATTGATGGGCATCAATTGGATCATCAATTTGCCACTTAGAGAACCAAAATGTTTGATTGGTAGAGTTTTAGTGAGTGAGTGATGTGAAACGTAAGCGGAGGCTTTGCTAGGGAGAGGATCTCTTCCCCAAAAAGCTGAAAAAATACTCTTCAGGAAATCTGAAATTTTCTTCAGGTTTCTTATTCAAAACCTGAGAGGAATGGCTTAGGATCAAGGGAAATTTGAAGGAGCCTTCACGCCTTGATTCCAGCAACGTGTTGAGTGAGAGAGAGAGAGAGTTGAGGAGAGACAACCCAGTAAAGAGCATGGGGAGTTCGGCCAGCAACAGAGAGATTTTGGAGAAATAATTCCAAGCAAAACAATGAAGGAGGAGGCGGCTGATTGAGACCAGAATCTCCTAATGCCACTCTCAGCCTATGGAAGGAATTGATGGCTCAGTTTCACCTGGAGGGATAGGAATTAAATTATGCTTTAATTGCCTGAGATTTTGGGAATTCTCAGATTTGGGAATTCTTTCCCAAATCTGCTGGAGTTAATGAATGAGAGGGAATAATCCTGATTTCCCATCTCAGATTTTGAAATCTGGAATGAAAGCTGCAGTTACGTTGAGAGGAAAGGTATTTAGGAGCATTTAAGAGGTGGTGATGTGGCAATTAAATAGAAAACAATAAGGGGAAGGCCGGCCAAGCATAGAGAGGGAGAAAATGTTTAACTTAAGTAGGTGGGGACAACTTGGTTAACAAAGCTTTAAATAAAAATCAGAAATATATTTCAGGTTTTTAAGCTAGGGAAGTTTCTTAATAAGAGGGTATTAATTAAGACCAATTTGAATTCAAATTCAAATTGAAATCTAATTAATTTGGAGACCTCAAATTAAGGAGCTAAATTAGGAAAGTATCAAAGCTTCATGAGAGTTTTGAATTTCAAATTCAAAACTCCAAGAGGGGCCGGCGGGTGGAGTGGTGGGAAAGGAAAATTGGGGAAGAGGGGGCGGCGGCTTGGACCAATTTTCAGGTGGTGGTGGCCGGTGGCCTAGGCAGCCCAAGGTGGCCGGCGGAAGTGCTTGGTGGAAACGGGTGAGGGGATGGAGTTCAAGAAAGAATGCGGATTCCGGACAATTCTCCTTGAATTCTCACACTAATTGATCGCAAAGAAAAATTGGAGGAAGGTCTAGAACTCACAAAGAGATCTAGCTCTTCCAAAACTCACTAAGAGATTTGGGAAGGGATGCACTCACAAAGACAACACAAGTAGAGAACTCACTAAGAGATCTCAACATAAAAAGAACTCACTAAGAGATCTAAAGATGGAACTCACAAAGAGAACGCAAAAAGCAAATTTTCATTAACAATTCATCATCCCATGACATAGAAAGAGCTCTATATACAGGCCTAAGAAACTAAAATAAGACACATATGCCCTAGCTTACATAGGACGCCCCTCTTAAGCGAGGGTAAAAACGGAAAATTCATAATAAAAATTTAAAAATTACAACTAAAATATAAGAATAACGTGGGACGATTACAGCCGTTTGATCTTCAGCTCGGATAGTCATGGAAGGTTGGATGTCCGCATCATTCTCTCCGGGGTGAAAAAAGAGCTCGACTCCGTCGAGTCCGCACCCCAGGTAACCATGCTCTGATACCAAACTGATGTGAAACGTAAGCGGAGGCTTTGCTAGGGAGAGGATCTCCTCTCCAAAAGCTGAAAAAATACTCTCAAGAAATCTGAAATTTTCTTCAGGTTTCTTATTCAAAACCTGAGAGGAATGGCTTAGGATCAAGGAAATTTGAAGGAGCCTCACGCCTTGATTCCAGCAACGTTGTTGAGTGAGAGAGAGAGAGAGTTGAGGAGAGACAACCCAGTAAAGAGGCATGGGGAGTTCGGCCAGCAGCAGAGAGATTTTGGAGAAAATAATTCCAAGCAAAACAAATGAAGAGGCGGCGGCTGATTGAGACCAGGGAATCTCTAATGCCCACTCCAGCCTCCTTGGAAGGATTGATGGCTCAGTTTCCACCTGAAGGGATAGGAATTAAATTATGCTTTAATTGCCTGAGATTTTGGGAATTCTCAGATTTGGGAATTCTTTCCCAAATCTGCTGGAGTTAATGAATGAGAGGGAATAATCCTGATTTCCCATCTCAGATTTTGAAATCTGGAATGAAAGCTGCAGTTACGTTGAGAGGAAAGGTATTTAGGAGCATTTAAGAGGTGGTGATGTGGCAATTAAATAGAAAACAATAAGGGGAAGGCCGGCCAAGCATAGAGAGGGAGAAAATGTTTAACTTAAGTAGGTGGGGACAACTTGGTTAACAAAGCTTTAAATAAAAATCTGAAATATATTTCAGGTTTTCAAGCTAGGGAAGTTTCTTAATAAGAGGGTATTAATTAAGACCAATTTGAATTCAAATTCAAATTGAAATCTAATTAATTTGGAGACCTCAAATTAAGGAGCTAAATTAGGAAAGTATCAAAGCTTCATGAGAGTTTTGAATTTCAAATTCAAAACTCCAAGAGGGGCCGGCGGGTGGAGTGGTGGGGAAGGAAAATTGGGGAAGAGGGGGCGGCGGCTTGGACCAATTTTCAGGTGGTGGTGGCCGGTGGCCTAGGCAGCCCAAGGTGGCCGGCGGAAGTGCTTGGTGGAAACGGGTGAGGGGATGGAGTTCAAGAAAGAATGCGATATGGACGAATTCTCCTTGAATTCTCACACTAATTGATCGCAAAGAAAAATTGGAAGGTCTAGAACTCACAAAGAGATCTAACTCTTCCCAAAACTCACTAAGAGATTTGGGAGAGGGATGCACTCACAAAGAGAACACAAAGTAGAGAACTCACTAAGAGATCTCAAAAGAAAAAGAACTCACTAAGAGATCTAAAGATGGAACTCACAAAGAGAACGCAAAAAACAAATTTTCATTAACAATTCATCATCCCATTACATAAGAAAGGGCCTCTATATACAGGCCTAAGAAACTAAAATAAGACACATATGCCCCTAAGGCTTACATAGGATGATCCTCTTAAGCGAGGGTAAAAACGGAAAATTCATAATAAAAATTTAAAAATTACAACTAAAATATAAGATAACGTGGGACGATGACAGCCGTTGATCTTCAGCTCCTCGAATAGCCATGGAAGGTTGGATGTCTGCATCAGTGAGTCTGCGAGTTGCTCTTGAGAGGCAACATGGTGAGTTGCTCTTGAGAGGCAACATGGTGAACGTTGACTTCCTTTGACTTGATGCAGTTGCATATGAAGCGACAATTGATTTCAATATGTTTGGCATGAGCAAGAAATATAGGGTTGTTGGTGAGAGCAATGGCGAAGTTGTCACAATATAGAAGGGTTGGAGAGGGGGATGTCAAATTCTTGTAGAAAGATGATGAAGCCAAATAAGGTATGCGGCTATGTTGTCTAGTTTTTTATGTTTTGTTTCAAATGGATGATTTGGCCATTGTGGTATGTTTCTTGACACAACAATAGATGAGGATTAGGCCGAGAAAGGCGCAATAACATGCGGTTGATATTATGTCGTGACGGTCTCTTTGGTCTAGTTGGATTCAACATATACACTAAGTTGTAGTTAGTCGTGGTACATGAAAAGGTCATAGTGAGTTGTGCCTTGAATGTAATGACAAATATTTGAGGTGTTGATAATGAATGTCAAGGGGTTTATGCATGTATTGGCACAAGTGATTGATTGCAACAACAAGGTCAAGCCTTGTCACGGTGAGATACTAAAGGGATTCAAAGAGTAGACAACATGATGTATGATTGGAACATTCAAATTACAAGGTTTCTATGAGGGGAGTTTTAGCTAGGTTGGAGTTTTGCATTGGATTGCACTCATGCATTCCCGAACATTGGAGTAGCTCCATGGCATAGCTAGTTTGATTTAACTAAAGGCAATAGAAGGCCTACGATGCAGTGACGCAAAGGAAATGGGAGAGAGTGTCGAGGTTTCCCATGTGGAATGATGTTGCCAAGTTCAATAGAGTTTAGAGATTTATTGTGGCTTGTTTCTAGTTTAGAGGATGTTGTCTGCATAGATCAAGATGTACATGCAGTCATAGTGGAATTTGTAGAGTAGTAGGGAGTGATCAGCAGTGCACTGCTAGGGACAAGCCTAAGATGCTATTGATGGTTCGTGAATGTGATAAACCATTGTCGACGGGCTTACTTGAGACCGCATACAGTGCTTTTAAGGGGATAGAGATGATTCAAGGTGCTGTTGATGTAGAACATCAATGCAACAAATGATTTGATTAAGAAACTTGCATGCTTAAATTTTAGAGAACAATCGTAAGCAAAACTTATATTGATTTAACGATAAGACAAAACAATAAGGTGATAAAATACGCTTAGGCCAAATCACATGCGTAGCAGTTAAGATTCTAAAATAGTTAATTAATATAATCTTGCGTACATGAAAGGTTTTCAACAAAAATTCTTATGCTAGCAATAAGATTAGTCACTATGCAAGGGTCCCTCACTCAACTCCCTAAATCACTAAGCTTTAGCAGAGGCGAGTAAACATGAACTTTGTGACTCAAATTATAACCACAAATGAGAATAAATTAGGAAGATAGGGAACTTGAGGAAGAGTTTACCATAGTCAAATTCTTAGGCATGGTTAGTGGCGTGCGGATGAAGCCCTGAAGTGTGGTGGTTGTTCTTGATGATGCTCTGCCGTTGGATAGCCATTGGAGTCTTCTGGGTAGCAAACAGAAGTCTTCCGGATGGCAAAACAGTACTAGAAGGCTACTAGATTTTCTGGACAGCAAGAGAAAACATTGGGACAACAATTTTGAGCTCGTGGGAGAAGTTGGACAATAGTTTCACAGGCCTCAAAATTCTGGACAGCAGCCACAACAGCAGGGGCAGCAACTTTGGGCTTGTGGAAGACTCTGGACAGCAGATCCACAAGCTTCAAATCCTGGACAGCAACTCAGTTCAGGAAAATAAGGTCTTGGCTGATCCGTTGAAGGGAAGAAGATGGAGTATGGGATTAAGAGCTTTCCTTAAAGTTCTCTCCTCCTACGAATTAAATTCAGGAATTGATTTGAGAGCTGAATAGGGAATTAATTAGATAGAAGAGATAGGGTGGGCCGGCCATGCATGGGGAGTTAATTGGGGAACAACGTTTATACAAAATGTATTATTTTATGTTTACGCAATTTTTTGATTTTGAGGCTTACGCCTCAAATCGCCTTGAGGCTTACGCCTCGCCTCACGAACGAAAAACGCCTCAATACCCGAATACGCAATTTTAAACCTTGTTGGGGAATTCATGATTCCTTCCAAACTTAGGTTGCTAATTGGGGAAAGAGAGTAAGAGAGAAATCTCTAATCAATTTTAGATTTTAGAGGAATTGAGAGCTTTCAAAAATAAATCAATCTCTTTAGGAAAGGATTTCAAATTCAATTTAATTGGAATTTGAAATTTGAATTCTTTCCAAAGTGAAGATGATCTAAGCTAGGAAAGTATTTAATCCCTCCCAAGTGAGAGGTTTTTATTTTGGAAAGCATTAAGGAGGTGGGGACAAGGAGGGGCCGGCAGCATCATGGCTTGGGGGGCTTGGGGAGGAGTTATGGCTTACCAAATCAAGATCCTTTAACTGGGAAAGAGAAATTAAAGCCAAGTCAATTTGAATTTGATTTGGGCTTAATTCAAGGGACTTTTCTAAAATAGATTTTTATTTTAGGAAATATTTCAAATTTCAAAATTGATTGAAATTATAAAATTAAGGCTCTCCAAAGTGGGAGTTATGCAAAAGGAAAGTGTTGATGAGGTGTGAGATGTGGGAGAAGGGAATTAGGGTTTGGAAGGTGGCGGCTAGGGTTTGGCTTGCTATGACCGGCAGTTATGTTAGGGTTTGGGGTAGGTAGGGGGGGAGGGGGGTTGGGAATTGCGTGAGTCAACCAATCAAGGGATGATCCTCCTTGGATGGCCGGTGGCTAGGTGGGAAGGGAGAAGAGTGTTGGCCGGTGGTGGGGCTTGGGCTTGAAGTGAGGCCGGCAGTCTTGGGTTTGGGAAACCCAAAGCCAACGGCAAGGGGAAGGGGAGGAAGGAAGGAAAGGATAGAGAAAAAAAAAAAGAAGAAAACCACGAACCCGGACGCTTTCAAGGTTGGTGAGTGATCTGCGTACCCTCTCCTAGGGATTTCTTTCCAAAGCTCTCAAACGCACACACAAACAAAAGAGTACAAGAAATTTCATTAACATTCATTCATTCCATAAGAGGGAAAAGACAGCAATAAATAGTCCCTCATACAAGAACAAAACAAAAAACCAAATGGCCCCCTTGGGATTACATGCATCTAGTCCCTTAAGTGAGGGTAAAAGTGGAAAATGACACTAATAAAAAAATATAATATATCAATCACAACTAAAGAGATTCGATCGTAGTCGTAGATCGTTATCCTAGTTGCTGATACACTTTCCATGATATGATGTCTGCATCAGCTGTCCATATTGAAAGTTGAGAGTTTGAGCCGTGTAGACTATTGTGTTGAGGTGACCGTGGAGGAAATCATTAGAGATATTGTGTTTAGTGATAAACCAATTCCGAGTAAGGGCATTGATAAGGAGAACATGGATGGTGGGCATATTGGGAACTTGACTGAAGGTTTCAATATAATCAATGTAATGTTCTTGTTTGTAGCCTTATGCCATGAGCCTAACTTTATGTTTAGCCATAGATCCATCTTAGTTGTTTTTTTTTTTTTTGAAAGTCCACTTACTGCCCAAGAGATTTTGCATGGGTGATAGGGGGACAAGTACCCAAGTTCCTTGCTCCTCTTGGGCTTTGAAATCTTGTGACATAGCCATGTGTTAGTGAACTTCACAGGCAGTTGTAGAGTAGCAACTAGCACGCGTAGATTCATTGGAGGTTGTTTGGTTCATGTTTAGTATATGTTTGGGCTTTAGGCTAAGTGATCATTGGATGGCCAAATGCAATTGCAGTGTTCAGGTGGTAGAGTTGTAAAGATACAATAGTGCTTTGGTCATATCGCATTTGGCAAATGGCACGGGTGAGCTAAATTGTGGTGAGGTGCATGTTTAAGGTGGGGGCACGTGTTGGTGAAGAGCATGTGACCATGTAGTGGGAAGCATATGCTCGAGGTCATGATGAGGGTCAGGGGAGGGAGGGCAGCTATTGAAGTGGTTTGTTGGGTGTTTGGAGAATAATTGTAGAAAGGGAATATGTTTTTGTTAAACAATACATGATGTGAGATGAAATTCTTACCTAAGTTCAAAACATGGCATTTTTAGCCCTTATGTGAGATGGCATATCCAAGAAAGATGCAGATGGATGATCCTAGAGAAAGTTTGTTTATAGAGTGCGAGCATAGCCATGGGGAGCAAACATCTAAAAAATAAAGATCCTTCTAACTAAAAATTCAGATCATTTACTTGCAACTCATATCTATCAGACAATCACATCTTGACAGTTCAACCATTAATTTACGCAAATGCACAATAAATTCAACTTCAAATATCATTTTATAATCAGTCATAAAATTCTAGAGATTACCCTTCCACCCAAAAAAGCGAATGTATCTGCCGCAATTATGCTGCTAACGGAAATAATGGTTGCTACAAGTCCAACAGTCCAATGAGCACGACCACCAAGAAGAATTGGCCAATATTTTCCTAATTCTGCAAAAGTATATCACAGAGCAAGAACATTAACAAACCAATAAATTTATTTTAAACCAAGCAATAGCTCCAAATAACAAATTCAAAAACAGCAAGATGATAAAAAAGATTAGAAGAATGTTACAATTATGTTTAAATGAAAATGCTTCAACAACATAGACCTAGGACTTAAAAAAAAACATTTAATTGGAGATCATTACACTTAATTTATTATTATATTACTTCATATTGTAAGCACACATGTATGATTACATTCTCCACCCTCACCACAGTACTCCATCTTCTAGAGCTAGACCAAGGATGTGCAACTGTAGATGACGTGGAAGCACCATAATTGAGAGAGGATAAGGCATAAAAGCTATGACCTTATATTGCTGGGAAGGAATACAATAAGAACGAATCTCAAGTCAACACAGGCAAGCAAAAGTGAGTTTCTAGCAATCAAAGGTGCCACCTAAGCCATTTACATCAACGCTTAATAGAGCCCCTGTTTGCATTAATACTATCATAAGCTTAAGATTAATCAAATAAGAAGCGAATATTCCATGCAATGCTTTAAATTTCATGGATGTCCCTTCAAACCATCAAAATACTTATAATTTGGTGATTAAAAATACTCATAACTTAACACGTTATTACTCATTTGACTTTGAAGCTGATGGTTCCCTGAAAAATGATTTTATTTGGTGAGCATCAGACTATAGTATCTTGGATACATTCCTTGATCATTACAGCTATTGTATAAGATTATTGTTATCAGTCCCATAGCCAAATGAAAAAGAGTTGAGAATTGATGTTACATCGGTGGTTAATCACAAATTAGTGTGAAACTATTAAAATGAATTCAGTTTGAATTATATTAGTAGTAGTGTTAGCCAAATGAAAGCACTACAACCTAACTTAATTGTGGGGAGAAGTAGGTAAGGATTTGCTAGGAAGTCACCCACAAGTGGCACGCCAAAACCTAATTCCATTGTGATGAAAAATAAATAAGAGTTGGCTAAAAGGCCAACCTTTATTGACGCGCCACAACTTAGCCTTGTTAAGGTAAGAAGCAAGAGTTGGCTAAGTCTAAAATTAGGGCTCTTATTTGGCATCACTTTATGATTTTTTATTTTTTATTTTTATATTTATTTTGGGCAAAACATGCTTGGCTAGTATTTTTGTTTTGCTTTTTAAACAAATCAAGTTGTTTTAAAAACATCTAAAAAAAAATTTAGGCCTTTCAGTGTTTCCAAAATATGAATTCTCAACCAATCAATCTCACAAACAATGATGGCCCACCTTGTACCCATCGTCAGCCCGCCCCATGCATATTGTTGGTTAGCACTACACTCATTGTAGGTCAACCCTACGCCTATTGCCGATGCCTCCATATGATCCGCTAGGACCTCCAGTCATTGTGCCATTGCTCTCTTTCAAATCAAAAGATAAATTGGCGTATATCATATTCAATAAAACTATAAATAACCTATATTTAAGATACCGAGTAGATTTTATTTCATAACAAAACACAAACAAAATAACATAAAAATAAAAAGCCATGAAATGAAAACAAAAGGTGATCCCAAATGGCCCCTTGAAAATGTTTGGTTGGTAAAAAAGATAAGCTGAGGCAAGGCAAGAAGAGCTGAGAAAATTATTGGTCATATTTTGACTACAGCTCGCTTGCTTAACATAAAGTGAGTCATAATTTATAATCAAACATGAATTATCCTTATTATATATTATTTAAATATTAAATAATGTTACCAATAAACTAACTTAACTATTACATATTTATCTTCATTGAAAATGTTATTATTCAAAGTTAATTTTTTTACTATTATAAGTTATTAAGTGAATAATTAATCATCAAACACTTAAGATTCATAACTATCATAATTAAAAAAAAAAATCATAGTTGATTTCTTATTATGAGTAATTAAGTGATAAATTATATATATATATATATATATATATATATATTATATAAAGTTAATTCTATGTTTATTAATTATTTCACATTTATATAAAGTTAAGCTGTCATTTAAGCTTGGGTTTCCTCAAGCTTGCTCAAACCAAACTTAGGAGCACGAAAGGAAAAAGGATGCACTTAAGTCATGAGAAAAGCTAGGGATAAGAAATGCAATACTTGGTTCTTTAGTGCTAACCAAAAATCCCCTAAGATTAGATCTGCTACATGGAATGGGGTGATTTCTAATGCAAAGAAAAGAGAATTAGTAAATACAATAATTAGAACCAAAATAAATATTACTTATTTGCAATAAACTACAACAACAACATCAAGCTTGTTGTTGTTGTTGTTGCAATAAACTATAAAATGAAAGGGAAAAAAAATACAATCATATGATGGAAGTAAAAAGATATTATGTATTGAAAATGTTGATAACAATAGGATTATGATGGTATTGAATAAAGAGCTGATAGATATGATCGTCGAAGTTAATCAAGCTAGTGATAGGGTGATTTCCATTAAGTTAATGTTTGATGATGACATTACAAATGTGCTTATGCTTCCCAAGCCAGACAAGTCTAAAATAATCAATTTTAAAAAGGTACAGATGAACAATCGCAATATATCAAGGAATAAATGATATTTATTGGGGTAATCTTAAGCAAATATACAGGTTATAAAAGGATGGGATGTGAATGGATTCATGATGGATATGAAAAAAGAGATAAAAATGTAATAGGAGAAGCTTCACTTGATTTTATAGTAGCTTATGATCTCATAATAGTGAATACATCTTTTAAGCAATGAGAAGAGGATTTAATTATATTCAAAAGTACAGTCACATAATCACAAGCAGGCTTCCTTAGAATTGGAGGGAATGAAAAAAAAATGCTGAGATTGTAAGATGATTCCATAACAGAGTTTGACCACACAACACAAAATAATAGTTATAAATGTATAAAGAGTATAAAGATTACATTAGAAAAAAGTAATTTTCTCATGATAAAGCGGTGGAATGAAAGGAGAAAAACTATTAATCTTTCAAACTATATACTACAAGAGGCAATTTGGATTTTTTTAGTTGAGTCAAATCAAATTTGGGATAAGATGGCTAGTTCCATTATGGACATCATCATAGAAGTTTTAAGAAAATATAGAAATAGATTGTATAATAATTAGGAGACTAACTATAAAAGTACACAAGGTTATAAAAGTTAAAAAAAAAAAAGAAATTTGTTGGCTCAAGAAAAAATGAAGCATCGGCATGAATCCTACTTTGCAGTTGCAAGATATCATCTACTTTGAGTCAGATTGTAGTTAACCAGATTTCTCATGAGGGCGGTGTCAAGGTTTAATTATATCTGGGTCCTTACTTCCAATGAGCGCAGGCACTCGTAGTAAATTATCCTCTTAACATGTAAGAGAGAACTCTCGATTAAGGATAAATAAATTTTGGATAATACAAAGTCATTAATATCTAAATTGAGCAAAACAAAAATGAGAATGCTATAATGGATGTGTGAAAATTTTAGAAAAGGTATATTAGAACAATGGTTGATTGACATCAATTGAAGATAAATAGATAATAATTATGTGAACCTACACAATGAATGATTAAAAAATGCACCATTAAACAAGTGAGTCAAATTAGTTATATAGTATTAGTAAGGAAAAGAGACACTTACAGGATAAAAAATGTTCAAAATGATGTGTGAAGAATAAATTTTAACACTTTAAACAGTGCTAAGATGGAAAAAATGGACAATGAAGATTTCATAGTAATAATCTCAAATATATGGCAAAAGGCTAATTGTGATGATGCTTCCAGCTATTATAGAAATTTTTTTCTGTATCAAGTCTATCTTTTATATTAGATTTTTTATACAAAGCATTCAAAAGTAATGACCCGGGTGAACAAAAACCTTAATCTTTCCAATAAAATCAAGCAATAATTGATTGAAAATTGGAATCTTTTATCTTATATTCAAATCTTAAAGAAAAAAAACCACCTACTTTATATATATATATAACAACTTTGTCATTCTTTCTCATTCTCATATCTTCGTTAATGTTCATGACAACTCATGAAGGGCAACTAGAAGTTATAACCAACAGGATATTGGAATCCCAACATGCAAATTATGCTGGTTTTCATCAATAGCAACTTGATCAACGAAATGATCCTAACTCATTTGATTCCCTTAAATCAACTTTTTGTAAATAGGTCATTATCATGACTCTTTAGAGTTCATTAACAACTTTACTTGTTGGTTTAACATTATTGATTTGAATAATTAGCCTCAACACAGGACCAAATCTTACATCAAGAAAAGAGCCCTTAAGATCTATCAAAAAAGAAATTCTTAATTACATTTTCTCATAAAACCAAATGCAAAAAAGGGAAACAATTTTCTATCTAATCACATTAGAATTGTGGTTTTCTCAGTTGTACAAAAGGCAGTTCATTTTAACACTAGTTCTTAACAAAACAAAAATGAAAAGAGTTAATTTATCTATGAAAAGCTTCTCTTGCTGGGCAGATATGATTTTCTATGAAGAGGTGCACTTGATCTTCCACAATCATGTCATCACACTGATATGTGTTGTGGTAAAACTTATGATGAGAACATAATTGTTGACGAGGTTAAGTTGATTGTCCTCTTGCATGGAGGCTCCTAACTGCTCTTGTAGTTTTTGGTCAAAACCACCACTATAAATCTCTCAAATTTGCCATTTCCAACAACTATGGTTTAAGTTTTTCATCTTAGGCTTTCATCTAGTACCAACATCATCGAGCATTGACATGATTAGTGTCTATGATTTGGTTTTCTCATCTCTATGTTAGTCATGTCATTTTCTTTGAATCCATCTCAACCTACTCCCTCTACATTAAATTTTGATATCTCTACTCTTTCCTCTAGTTTTGATAAGGTTCCTGCTGCTCCAACAATTACTTATTTTAAAGTTGCCCAAGCTAATATTAGTCCCAATATCTTCAACCCTTTTGGTAATAAATCTCACCATATTTCATGCCGTTCTATATAATTCCAATAAGCCCTATACTAACGTTTCTTCATTTTCATCTGGCATAAAATTTCCATCATCTTGCAAATGGAAATCTGCCAGCTTCCTCTATAACGAAGAAATTAACACCCACTTTCAAATCAGATTTTGGATATGTTTGATGTTTATGGTATTTAGCGGTAATTACTGATGTGCTCTTCTAAAGTTAGCGCTGAAGTTAATGACATTTTTCAAGTATTAATTGGATGTTATAGCCAGATGCAAAGGTTACTGTATTATGTCCAAGGGCTAAAGTCTTCGAGGACTTCGCTACAACCTTTATCATGTTATTGCTGGTTGGATTGCAAGAATGAATCAACTGGGTTATCACTACATCAAATTTTGAAGATCTTGCATTTGACTATTTATGGAGGATTTGGTTGAGACTTCAAGTGTCCTTATGCTATGGGATTATCAGTGCAACTGAGGCTATCGGCTCTCATAGTTGATTATTTTGTTTTTAATATTTGTTTCTTGTTGCTTCTTCAGGTGCTTTGGTGCACTTTTCTTGATAAGTTTTATTAGTTGGTTTCTTCATCAGGTTATCATAGCATTTACTTGTAATTTGGTTACCCCAAAAATACAATAATAAAAATTATTACAATAACCTTAACAAAACAAATATTTTAGTACTTAATAAAATCACATTAGAAATTGAATAAGTTATGATTCCGCATATTGATAAGCGATCAACATGCAAGCTTTAAAACTTACCTGTATGCAATGCAGGGGCTGCCAGACCACAACGAAGCTTAACCCAGAAACAAGGAAGGTAAGCACAATAGAACAATCCAAACACGGTACTACTTAGCTGAGAAAAACGAGGAATTGCTCTCTGGCAAATTAACGCCATTGCAACTAAAAATGCTGATGATGTTACAGATACATCTATGTGACCAAAGTACCTAGAAAATTGAGAGAAAACATCAACAGTAAATATTTTGGAAGCCATCAGTTGATAGAACTTGCAAAAAGAAATTATACACCAGCGCAAAACATAGTATCAGTAGAATATATGGAAAAGTGTAGTTCATTAGGGTGTCTATGTGACATGTATCACAGCCAATCCATGTGTAAGAAAATCATTTCTTTTGTGAACACGCCCATCCATTCCTTTTTAATTATAGTTCTTCATATTTTTTTAAAAAAATATAAATAATATGTGAACTCTTCTTTGCAATAAAAGGATACAAAAGCTATCAAGAGTTATGTCACCTTTTTGCCGTGTTGGTGTGCATATTATGTCTCCCTACCAAAATTGAAGAGCTAAGAACCATAGATAATGATGCATCTTGGAAGTAAAAACAATAAAATAGATAGAAAAAAAATGCAGGAATACAAATATGGGGGCTGATTTTTTATTACTACTTCAACAATAATGAAAGATACAATTGATCTACTATTCAAAAGGTAGATCGGCCCTCCCACAAATCCTAGCCGCCGCTAGGAAACTCACATCAAACCCTAGAAAATAACTCAGCACACCCTCTAACCCAGACAAAACTCCCCCTTAAATAGCCCTTACACACAATAAACACAATCAAAATATTCCTAAACAGCATAAACACAATTAGGAAACATTCCTAAAACTCCCCCTTGATTTCTCCTCCTTACATAATGAATAATAGCTCCCCTAGCTCCATAAAAGGGGACTAAATTTCCCCTCTGTTGCCCCTAGTTCCACCCAACCAAAAGGCTAGTTTGGCCGGGGTTGGGCTGGTATGGCTGGGGTTGTGACCTTTTTCGGCTTCTGTTTTTACCAAAATCATATGAGATAAAAGTCAAAGATGCCCTAACTTTCTCCAATAGCTCCTCTCCTCTCTATGACTTAAACCTACACCAAAAACTCATAGCTTCTCCCCTCTTAGACAAGATGTTCTAACAAACTTTATTAGCACCGCCATCAATCCTCCTCTCTCTCTCTCTCTCTCTCTCTCTCTCTCTCTCTCTCTCTCTCTCTCTCTCTCTCTCTCTCTATATATATATATATATATATAAATACTCCAGTGACGTCCTCTTTGTTATAAAATAAAAGGTTAGAATAACCACTGACTATATCTTGATGATATATAGAAGGTCTAAACCTTCTTCATAGTGGCAACTCGAAACTTCAATAGTAGCGTCCCCTCGTCACAACTCAAACTCCAACGACTGCCTTCCAACGGCGACTTAAAGCTCTTACAACAACAACGATCAAAGTTCCTTCTCTAGAAGGATCAAGTGAGGCAAGAAATTTCACATATTTTTCCCCAAAACCCAAGTTAATGTTTCAATATAATATTTTTTAGTTTTCTATTAAAATTACTAGCTTTTAGTAGTTTTATTCTATTTGACTATTGAACTAATTTTGAAGGGAAGGTCATATTACATATTTTAATTCATTTACTATTAAAATTACTATCCTTAAAACTATATTTTTATTAAGTTATAACTGCTTTGAATTATCATATATATCATAGTATTAGCATTTTCTAAAAAAAGAATATTTTGATGATCATTACCTTTTTTATATGAGCATTTGAGAATAAGTGCGTCTTAGCTATTAGTATAGATGCAGCAGTGGCATAGCAGCATAACCAAACAACAAATAAATTTTATTTAAATAGAACAACCTAGCAACTAGATTTTCCAAACACAATTACTGATTCAGCAACAAAATTTCCTGTAACAATTTTAAAACTAAATTTATAGACAACAATAACTTCCCCAAACGGACCCTTTATATGCATCAACACCTTATAATGCAATGCTAACTTTCAAATTGGCTATTTAGCAAGCATGTTGGTTATGTCAATGAAGGTTAAATTAGGGGATTTACCTACTTTTTATAAATTAGTATTCAAAGACAATAGTTTACAAAAACATTGTAGCCACCAAAAGTTCATTTCTCCACGGATTATGCAAAAAAACTACTTAATTAAATGAAGTTGCTATTTGAAAGTGATTTCATATAAACTCCTAAACACTTGAATCTCATTGCTAACTTTTACCATGGCTATGAGATGAAAGGTACTTCAAAAGAATTTGGAAAATTTTCAAAATGGTTCCTCTATTATAAAATTATTTTCTTATTGATGGATATCATTAAATAGAAAGATTTTTTGGTTTCAGACATGTTTGATAATTCCAATAAGCATTTTTAAGGAGAATTAAGCATTAATTTTTTGTCACGCATAAGTGTGCATGTGCCCACACATAAGTTGGCATCGGTACGCTCGCACGTCCTTGCTCTCCATCTCACGCACCAGCCGCACATCTTCCTCGCGCACACATGAATGCATAGGAATGAAATCTTGTATGTATGTATGTATGTATATATATATCATTAGTTGCACTACAACCTAACTATACATATATGCTTACTTACATAAATGCATTGACGCATTTACATTTTAATTTTTGTATAAGCTTAGACATATATTTTATAATTTTGCTACCCAACCAATACCAAGCCTCAACATAACTCCACTAGGCTTTGGGCCAACAACAATGGTTTATAAAAACTACACAAATTTTGGAAAATAAATATGGTTTGATGTATGAAAGCAACTTGTGTTAAAATAATAAAATATCAATGAAAAAGATAGATAGCTGAGAAAAGATCTTCATATGACTTGTATTGATCTCCAGAAGGCATGTGATCAAGAATCATGAGAATAAATCCAGTGCATATAAGGAATAAAGTTGTGTCATAAGTATATTGAAGACACGGATGGGGTCGGCGACAAAAGCTAAATTGGTAGTTAATGTAAGCAAGAATGAATTGTACTTTCTTACACACATGGCAACTATCTTGCCACATCAGCATTAACCTCAACATTGCATCTTCCTCTATATATTTGTTGTAACTGTGAAATAATCAATGAAGTCTTTTCTATTCTCTCTGCTTTTCTTTGCTCTATTTGTTTCGCTCGATATCAACATGGTATAAGAGCTATCGTGATTCCCCTTCCTTCTTCCTTCCCATCTTCTTCTCTATGGTTCGTTTGTTTTCCCATGGAAAACTCCACCGCAACCTATTCTTCGCTTCAATCCGACGATGGCGCCTCCGCTCAGTTCAAGCCGCCTTCTTCAATCCCTTCATCCTTGAAATTCTTGATGAATAACATCAAGAAAACCATCTCACAATCTCTCACCCCCGATAATCATCCTCTTTGGCGATATCAAATTCTCAAGATCTTCTGCGCCAACGGCTATGAAGGATTTCTGGATGGCTCCGTCACTACTCCACCAAGATCCACGAAGGACGCCGTCGGACAACTCGTCCCCAATCCCAGTTTCACCAAATGGCTTCTCTTGGATCAAAACCTCGTCGTGGCTATGTACTCCGTCATTTCTTCCATCATTCTTCCCTACGTCATCTCGGTGGATCATTGCAGCAACATTGGGCAAACTCTCGATAGTCGACTCCAGTCCAGTACACGATCAAGAATCATCCAGCTCAAACATGAACTCCATTATCTCTCCATGAAAGACAAAACTATGTCTCAATACTTGCTAGACATCAAGGCCAAAGTTGATTCTCTGGCCGCCGCCGGTGCTCCACTCAACGTCGAATATGTCATTCACTACACACTAGACGGCCTCCCGCCAACTTACAAAGCTTTCAAGACCAAAATTCGTACCAACCTTCAATCGTTAAGTTTAAACGATATTTACACGCTCTTATGCAGCGAGGAACTAAATCTTGCACATGAAACCATCCGAGAACTCCAAAACCTTCAAATCTTCGGGAACACCATAGCTCTCACAGCGTCTCGCGGTCGTGTTCGAGGCAGGTCGAACCAAACTCGTGGTTTCTCCTCATCTAACAATCAAATGCTAGCAAACAACTCAAATTCTAATCGTGGAAGAAAATCTACAAGATGTTCCGTCACTTGCCAAATCTGCAGCAAATTCGGACACTCAACAATAAAATGTTGGCACCGCCATGACGATCAATACACAACAGAACCTGCCAACACGTCCTTATTCACTTCTCCATCACCAACCATACCGCACTAATGGTATCTTGATAGTGGCGCATCTACCAATCTCACTTCCGATCCTAGCCACTTCCAAACCTCCCACCCTTACACCGGTTCCAATTAGGTTATTCTTAACAATGGACAACAACTTACCAACCACAATACAGGTAAAGGTATTCTTCCTACTCCCCACGGTAGTCTTCAACTCTCTCATATCAATTTAGTTATGAATCTCTCATTCAATTTTTATATGTTAATCGCCTTGCTATTGATAACAATTGCACTATAACCTTTTCTTCTCATGGCTATGCTATTAAGGATCAAAGGACCCACCAAACTCTTCTCACGGGTTCATGTATTAACGGACTATACCCGCTTCAAGTCAAAGCTTCTTCCACTTCTACGCCTATGCTCGCTCTCATCTTTGTTCAAGCCGTTCCGGATCTATGGCACCAACGACTTGGCCATCCCTCCACCAATACTTTGACTAGCTTAGCAAAACAATTTTCTAATATTTGTATTTCTTCCACCAAACCTATGTGTAATGTTTGCCAAATGACTAAAATTCATCGACTACCCTTTAATGTTTCTCAAAATAGTAGCAAGTTTACTTTTGATCTTGTTCACTCTGACGTCTGGGGGCCCTCCCTTCGAACTCAACTCAAAGATATAGGTTCTATGTTTCATTTATTGACGATTTTTCTAAATACACTTGGGTTTATCCCTTAGTTCATAAATCCGATGTTCTTCATGTATTTCTTGAATTGCAAAGAATGATTCATGTCAATTTCGTACTAATATTTGCATTCTTCATACTGACGGGGGTGGCAAATTTGGTAACAATAAATTCAATACTCTTCTAAAGAATTTCGGAATCATTCATCAGTTCACTGGCCCATACTCTCCACCTCAAAACGGGGTAGCGGAACGCAAGCATCACCATCTAACTGAAACAATTAGATCGCTCCTCACCACTGCTTCTCTTCCCCAACATCTATGGGTCGACACGCTCGTCACCGCCACTTATCTCATTAATTGTCTACCATCTCCCAACAATTATAACAAATCTCCTTATGAAATCTTATATCGCAAACAACCCAACTACGAGCACCAAAAGGTTTTCGAATGCCTATGCTACCCTTGGCTAAAACCTTATTCTCCTAACAAATTGTCTCATCTCTCATATCCCTGTGTCTTCATCAGCTACGCCCAATTTCAAAAAGGTTATCGTTGCTTGGATCTTGTTAACAACAAGATCTACACCACTCGTCATGTTGTCTTCAATAAAGTCGTTTTTCCTTTCTCTCAATCTTCTCATTCAACCACAACATCCCTTCCCCAATCTCACACCACACCTCCCTTACTCCTAGTTCCAACAACAGGTTTACCCACTTCTCTTACATCAACTCTACCACCCACCCGACACAAAGCAAATTCAATTTCATATAGATACTCGGCTCCCTCTCCTCCTGCACCTGATACCGTCCCTCTGACAAATCAACAATCTCAATCCGTGTCTTCCCCACTCGCTCAGCCGCAACAAGTCACTGCACCCTCATCTCAAATCACCAACCATCCCATGGTAACTTGTTCAAAAATTGGTCACAGCAAGCCAAAATAAATATTCGACCTATCTCACATCCTTCAACCTGCTGAACCAACAACCTACAATTAGGCTGTTAAAAGTGAACATTGGCGATCAGCCATGTCATAAGAATTTTAAGCCTTACAAGTTCAAGCTATGCGGGATCTTATTCCGCCTCTACCAAATCAAAACATTCTTGGCTGTAAATGGATCTTTCTTACCAAACTTAACTCTAATGGAACAGTGGCCAAATACAAAGCTCGACTCGTAGCAAAAAGTTTTAATCAAGAACATGGTCTTGACTACACAGAGACGTTTAGTCCAGTAGCCAAAATGCCTACCGTACGAGTCCTTATTCTCATCGCTCTGCACTACAAATGAGAAATCCATCAACTAGATGTTTCCAACGCCTTCTTACATAACACCCTTTCAGACACAGTTTATATACAGCAACCACCAGGATTTCAAGATTCACTTCATCCTAACTACATCTACAAACTGAACAAAGCATTATACGGACTTAAACAATCCCCACGAGAATGGTACGCTACTATCCCCACTCATCTTCAAAATTTTGATTTTATAATCAACACTTATGACCCATCACTACTAACGTATAAAATGGGCTCTACACGCGTGTACATCTTAATCTACGTCGACTATATCCTCCTCACCGGCAACTCACAAACCGAGATAAATCGGCTGCTCTCCAACCTTCATGAAAAATTTCAAATGTGATATCTCGGATCCTTGACGCACTTCCTTGGCATTGAAGCAGTTGCAACTGTTAACAACACTCAACTACATCAACAACAATATGCCAACCGTATTCTAGAAAGAGCCGGTATGCAAAATGCAAAACCGGTATCCACTCCCACTTCATGCAAGACGGTGTTTACTCCTACCTCCGAACATGACTTCTCCAATCCTCAGTTATATCGTCATCTGATTGGGTCATTACAATATCTCACCTTGACTCGTCCTGATATACAATTTGTCGTTCATCAGCTAAGCCAACACATGCATCGGCATCTCAACAACCATTTTGACGCACTCAAGCGACTACTACGCTACATTCACGGTACAACTAACATCGGAATACCTTTAAACAAAGATGACCTCACACTTCATGGGTTCGTAGATGTCGATTGGGCTAGCAGCTCTAAAGATCGCAAATCCATAACAGAATATTGCAATTTCTTGGGCAAGTAACTCATCTCTTGGCAAGTCAAAAAGCAAAATATTATAGCACGATCGTCGACTGAAGCAGAATACATAGCACTAGCAGCAGAAGCTTCTGAAGTCATTTGGTTACGTCATCTGCTAGAAGACTTTCATATATCACAAACTAAACCAACCACAATTTATTGCGATAACGCGTCTGCAATTGCATTAGCAAACAATCCCATCTACCACGCTCGTACCAAACACATTGACGTGGACTGTCATTTCATCCATGACTACATTCAATCCAAGCATCTATCAGTCCATCATATATGTACAAATGATCAAATTGCAGATATATTCACCAAGTCACTTCCTATAAGTTGCTTTAAATTACTATATAGCAAACTGATCGCTACTACAGCATCATCAGTTTGAGGGGGCATGTAAGCAAGAATGTATTGTATTTTCTTACACATGTGGCAGCTATCTTGCCACATCAGCATTAACCTCAACATTGTATCTTCCTCTATATATTTGTTGTAACTGTGAAATAATCAATGAAGTCTTTTCTATTCTCTCTGCTTTTCTTTGCTCTGTTTGTTTTGCTGTATATCAACAATTACGTCTTGCAATTCCTCATCCATTTTGGCGCAATTTTTGTTGTTGTTGTGAATACCACACCTCTCATGCTTTTTGTTGATCCTGTTTATCTTCTATGGCCAATTCATTTTTCGCACTCTCAACCCAATTATCATATTGCCCCTGTTCATGCGTTTCAGCACTCAGAGGATAGGATATGCCATAATAAAGATATAACATAGAGTAAGACTAAGTAAGATGTTCATACTAGATTTCAAGAATTTGGTCATTAACTTGAGCATTGGAGGTCCATCCCAAAGGACTAACCCTCAGGTTGGGCACTATACACAGAAACAATTCAACATGCAAGATGTTTATACTCTACCAGCACACGAAATCTCCGCAAGAAAGAACATTGAAAGCCAGAAACTTACGCTGTTAGCACAGGCATCAACGCGCAGATAACCGAGCAAGCCCTTGACACATATCTGGGAGGCGGCGTCATCCCCGCAGCCATCCCCTGGCTTCTCACCAACTCAAAGTACTCACGAGCAGCAGCAAATACGGCAACAGCCACAACAACAGTGAACACCCATCCTCCAGCCACCACCACGCCGCCCCCTCCAATCCCAATAGCGAGCCCGGAAAACACTCGCTTCCTTAGTTGGCCCCCATCCTTCTGCTGCTCTGGCTCGATAAACAATGCCTCCGTAGCCTGCATATAACCCAAATCGGAACCCTAACACCAACTCCAAGAGTAAAATAAGTTGGAAGAGAATGAAATGATCGAATGAAAAGAGAATGCCTCAGTTGTCTGGGGCTTATGCTCGTGGGAATCCAGTTGGGTACCACCAGATGACGAAACGAAAGCGGAGTAAACGCGGCGTGCGCAGAGGAGGGAGAGGCGAAGGCGGCGGGCCGAGGGGAGACGGGCAAAGGCGACGGCTTTTGGGGCGGCACGGCGGTGACATGGACAGATGGAGAGAGGGAAGAATGCGCAGTGATCAGCTTTGAAGACTGTAGTGACAGCCATGGAAAGCGGATCGCCGGCGACAAATCAGAGCGGCGGCATAGATGACAGCGAACGGCGTGAGGTGGAGACGGGTTCGAGTAGGTCGAGAACCAGTAAGGAAGAGAGATATTGGGTCCCGAAAACAGAATCTTACGAGACACATACAGCTTTGTAGGTGTGATATTTTAATGCGAAGTGTGCCTATAATTTAAGTTTATATACCACATGATAATTTTAATTGAAAAAATATATTCATTATTTTTTTATTCACTAAATATGATTATGCATTGATATTCCGCTGAAATTTTGATTTCAGCAATTATTATATTTTTTTTTTCTATTGTTTCTTATTAAATTGATATTAGAGTAATTTTTGGGATTATTTTTGAGCTAATGATCAATAATAAATGATATGTCACCAAAAATTATCTTGAACAGGTACGAATCTTGATGAAAAATTGAGTTAAAAGTTTCCAAAATTAGATATGGGACCATATGAACTCCAATTTCAACGAACTTATAATCGAATTGAACGTCTCAAGAAGACGAGCCCAACGACACTAAATTAAACTCAATCCGAGCCCGAATGGGTCCAAAACAAGGGTTTGAAGCGCTGTTGAAGGGTTCAAAGCACAATTTGGATTACCAAACAGTTTTCAAATGTGACATTCTTATAGTCAAATCGAGCGGCTCGATGAGACGAATCCAACGAGCCCAAGATCACTGAATTCTGAAATCATTAAGGCGTCCAATTGAACAATAAACGGTCAATGATCAAGGGGATCAATATTGACCGTCCATTCAAACTACTCCCATTTTGACCTTGATCCTCCATATATTTATAAGCTATGTCACTCTCAAAAAACTATAAATAGCCCCTACTCTTCTCATGAGAGGGAGGAAGAAGAGGGGAAGGAAAGGAGGAATTTGGGAGCTCTCTTTCCATCGACCACCGTCGGAGTTCCTGCCGACCATCGCAGGAATCCCTGCCGACCACCGCCGGAGTCTTACCGACCACCGCCGTAATCCCTGCCGACCACCGCCGGAGTCCCTACCGACCACCGCCGTAATCCCTGCCGACCACCGCCGGTTTCTTCCGACCATCGCCGGAGTCCTGCCGACCACCACCGAAGTCCCTGCCGACCACCGCCGGAGTCCCTGCAGACCATCGCCGAAGTTCCTTCCGACCACCACCGGAGTTCCTGCCTACTACCGCCAGAGTTTTTCGACCACCGTCGGAGTTCCTCTCGAACACCACCAGAATTTTCTGGCCAACCATCGCTTGAATTTTCTTCTGGACTGTCGCTAAAGCTCTTCCCAACCACTACCTTATTTTGGTCGATTCATCAATCATCGTCAGATTTCTGTCTGATTATTAACCTGTTGTAATTCCAGAGTCTCCAAGTAAAAGATTGAATCAAACCATGTAATCAACCCAAACATAGTGGAATTTCTCATCTGGGCCAGGCCCCGTGGTTTTTCCCTTTCGGGTTTTCCACGTAAAAAAAGTTTCCGGTGTTTCTCTTCCTTAATTTTCTGTTGGTGTGCTGAATATACTTGAATTGCTAAGACGTTATATTTTTCATTCTACCGCCGCATATATTCTAATCCGCAACAATAAATGATCATAAGAACAAATGGAATGAAATTCCTAAAAGTTGGAAATAATAATTATATAATGATCAATGATAAACGCAAAGGCAAATCCATGTGCAATCATAAATGATTGTTATTTAAGAATAAATGATAAATTATCATTTTATTTCATATTATTTGTATATCTAGTACTCAAAATTTTAATATTATATTTATATCACTCACATAAAATTTTAATATCAAATATATCACTCATATATTTTATTCTTATCACCCATACTATCCTGTAAATTTTAATATTTTCCCCCCCCCTCCCTCTGCCCATGATCACACCAACCTACCACATGATATCCTCATCAAATCCTTGTAATTTTCTATAATTAATCCTTAATTTGTAAGTTAATAGACACTTATAAGTCTTAGAATGTTGAATGGGGTAGAGAGAAACAAAGGGTTGGAATAAAAAAGGTGAAAAATCCAAGTTTGAATTTTTGTTCTATGGGTGTCGCGATGCTAGAGGATACGACGCCTAAGTGCTGAGCTCTCTGGTTTTTGGGCAAACAAGACAGCGCTAGGAAGCACTGTCGAGGTGTTGTCATAGGTGAGCATATTCATAGAGCATCTAAAAGATTCTATGGAGTGCAATAGCAATGTGAAAGTTGGGCCCTGTGGCACTGGGAAAGTTGGCTGCCACAACGCTAGATCAAAATAGTGAAAATTTAATGTTAAAAATATCTCAAACCATTTGCTCATTCACTCACCACCCCAGCCTTGCCAGAGAAGAGATGAAGAGGAGGAATAGAAAGAGAGGGAGAGAGATTCGAAGGCCAAAGTCTGAGATTTGTCAATTAGGCTAATTCAAGAAATTATATAGCTTGAGGCAGACTCCTAAACCCTATCTCTAATTTCAATTCAAATAAATTTATTTAGTTTTATGAAATTTTCATCTTATAATTTTTGGTATGTTATTATCTTTTTATCATGAACATTTTGACTATGCAATTGAGTTTTCAACCATTAATTTTTTTTCGTATAAATTTCTGGGTATATTATTAAATTGAGAGTTTTCTAATAATAGTAGTAGTTATATAAAAGTCTTGGAATGTGTAGGAGAATATTCCTTTGAAATTAGAAATTAAAAATAAATAATTCAATGAGTACTCAGCTCTACAAGAATTGTGGCTTTACTAGCAGTTTATGCATTTTATGTATATTGTATTGAATATTTAACATTAAGTACTGTTGCATTGTTTACATTCTACATTTCATGGCTACAGAGAAGTTTTATTTTAGTATCTAGAAAAGTGCACTTTTTGTGATGTTTCAAAGGCCCTAAATGTATTATTCTAGCCCCATTTGCCCATTATAAATGTTAGAGGAATTATGATCTCACTTGCTAAAAGTAAAAGAGGAAGGTTAAGCAACACTGTCATATGTATCTAGCAAGTGGAGTCATAATCCCTCCAATATTTATATAAGGTAGATGGAGTTAGAAGAGCACTTACTGGGCGGAGCTTTCTCGATCAACTAACTGACTTAGAAAGAACAGATCTATGAAATCAATCTATCAATTTTCAGAAGTATATACATAGAAAGAAAACAAATAATAAGAAGAAAGAAGGATTCAATTCTATTTCAGTGTTTAGGCCGGTTTTAGGTGAGAAAGACTCTCCGTTCCGAACGGCGAGTCAAGGTACTGACACAGTAGGGCAGCAGAGGGTAGGAGATGAGAACGTGAGGGACACATGCATTGGTCAACAGTTTGAAACCGAGATCAACTCCGAAGATCCTGTGGAGTCAGTTATGGAAGGGATGAGGAATATCGGGATAAGCGGTGTGAACGGAGAAAGTAGGGGAAGGAAGACTCCAAGTCAGTTTATTCAAGCACTGGGAATCAATCGCTCTGAGGTCTACTCTTCTGGTAGTACGTGCTTGCCCTGTCCGCTAATCTGATCGAGAATCTCGAATATGTTTAGCCTTGCTATTATCTGCTGGTCATCCCTTTCATTCAATATGATGGTGAGGAAATCTAAATAAGTATTTAAAGAGAGGCATAAGCAAAAATGAAGTCATATCAAACATCTTGACATATACACGATACACATTGCATTTCATATGTTAATAGTTTAGTTAGTTAAGTTTAAGAAATATTCTAAAATGTGTTCAATAGATTCTAAGTTTCTATATGAATTTGTTTGAAAAGTAGAAGCAAATCTAAAAAATTAAGTATTCTATACGACCTCCAAAAACTTCTGTGAAAAAGGGCAAATTATTGCATCCGATCACCGTATGCGGAAAATAGGATCGAACATCAAATAAAAATTTGCCACATCACCTGCGCTTTTGACTTGTGCTTTAGTTGCGCTTTGACTGCGCTTTACCTGCACTTTTAATGCACTTAATTTAAAATAATATTTTATTAATATCCTGACCTATCTCCGCGTCCGGTGACCGGATGCAATAATTTTTAGAAAAAAAAATACGTGTCAGTCCTGAGATCAAATATATACTGAAACTCTGAAACATTCATGTTCTGCGTATACTTTGACTAATTCATAAGTCCTTACATTTTTCTTTCACTATCATCTTAAGTATTAGTGTAGAAGCAAAGTTTTGAACATAAATTCCTAAAATATGATTTTATAATCCAACATTTAATTACTTAATTTATAATTTTTTTTACAGCAGTAGACAAAACAGGAACCAGAGACTGAAAGCCATCATGAGAATTACTCCTTATAAACAGCAAAACTACTAAAAATGTTCAAAGACAGACATTCCAGCAAGCTAATTCTATCACCACACAGCCACTTCAGAAATTAGCAATTGTGATTTGATAGCAATCATCTTTAGCTTAACAATAACAATAACTAACACAAACAACTCAATTCTTATCGAAGTACTAAATATCAATAGAGAAAGGAAAAAAAAATAAAGTGAAGAAGTTCAAGAAATAGATAATTAAGAAGCTTTGGATTTGCCCTGTAGACTCTTTTGCTCTAAAATCTACAAGCAACTAACACATTAAATATTTGAGTCAGCTAAGTGGAAAGCTTGGGAGAGCTACGACTTGATGAGATAGCCGAGAAAAATGGCCAGAAAAGCTATGATCAGCACAGCAATGAAGGAGAATCCACCTTGTTTTTTGCTCAGGTCCCGCTTCAAGAGCTCCTGCGCAAAATATTCATAGGGGGTATAGATTAGTAGCAGAAGAAAAAGGTGTTCATGTTAAGGTGGATTTGTGCTCCTGAAACATTTGTTCTGGAAATGTGTTGCTTGGCTGATTATGTTTTTAGGAAACAAGCAACAATTATGATTACAAATTTCAATTTTCCGCAATCTACGTGGGCTCCACTATATGAATCCTTTTTCGCCATTGTGTCATATTAAAAGTCAAATTATCGTTTAAATCTAATGAAGAAAGATCATTTCTGATATTTTCTAACCAAGTCTTTTTAGGTCTATCTCTGCTTTTCTTAACATAAGTCAAATCTAATACCTCAGCTTTCCTAACCGGGTCCTCGGAAGGCCTCCGTTTAATGTGACCAAACCATTTAAGGTGACTCTCCTAATCTTATCTTTCACTGGAGCTACATGTTAATATAAAGTTTAAATTTAATTCCGAACTCACTTGATCAAATTATGCAAAGCAAATCTAAAAAACATGTGAAATAACAGCAGAGGATACTGAACACTTGAATTTTTAAAGCCCAACAGAAGCTCAACTGCTTTATTGGGTATGGATCAAAAGGCCTTAGCTCAACCAGAATGCTCCTCATTTTTATCCATACTTAGATATAGATTTGGTTTCCAATCTTAGATATTGTCCAGGAAAAAATCGACAACACGTTCATAAGTGCTAACTATTTAGAGAAGCACATAGATTCACGCACACTCATGACTACTAAGCGTCAGTTGGGGCATTCTCATCATAAATGATACGTCGTGATGGTCCAAGTCGCTATTATTTTTATCCATACTTTAAACGACTTCCAAAGTATAAAAGCAGAAGAGCCAAAACTTGCAATAGAGCCAACATCAAAATCAAATTGAGGTTTTGTTTGGGATGGCTTTCTTATTGCTTCTTAAAACTATTTTCTAGTACAAAAATTATAAATTTTGTACTAGAAAGCTGCTTTAAGAAGTAGTAAAAAAACTGTCCCAAATGAAACCTGAATCATAAACTATGGAGAATCTCAAAACAAGCTAGCTGAACTTATAGCTCCCACGCAAGCAGGAAGGATCAATAAGAACATGGATATAAAATCGTTGTTTCTTCTATTGACAAGATCACCAGATAATTTTGACATCCTTGAAGCTAAAACCTAATTTTACTCAGAATTAGCAGGGCCTAGAAGTCTTTCTCTCAAGAACATCAATTTAGTCCAGTGTCATATAGAACTAGCTACATTTTGTAAATATTTTGCTGGATTGTAAGCTAATGCAAACAGATAGCAGTAGTTCAAAGAGGGCATAGAAATACACCATCCGCAAGGAGATTTGATTTAGTAGTAGTAGCAGAATGAGCAAATACAAGTACATAGTTGTTGGATTCAAATTTGTTAGTCTGTACCACCTTGAACATACTTGTAAGTCTAACTAGGCAGGTAGAGCAAGAGGAGAGGAGAACGAGTAGGCAAGTAAGGAGAAGAACTTAGGAGCCATGTACTCTATGAATAGCAAAGATTGCATAATATCCAGAAGATACTATTTAATGTTTTATTTATAGAGTTGAGAGGGCTACAAAAGACACAACATCAAGAGAAATAATAAAAAACACATGACTAGTCACTAGAAAATTACAAACTATTACAGCCACCTTAACTAGTTCATGATGTGTACATTTGGGCACCCATATTTGACTTGGATCAGGCTGCCCTCAGTGAATACTAGTGGCAAGCGCCTTGGGCAAGACCTCACGTGCAAGTGTCTTAAGTAAGTTCTTGTGGTGTCAAATTAATTTTCCACACCTCTTATGTTTTACATATTGGTATCAAAATGCTTCTTCTACAATCATTTGACATCATATTAATTTACAAAATTCTATTTAAAATGTTCATTAACCAAATAATTATAATATCCCCACAACTCTTAAAATCTCAATGGGCATCTCTCTAAGCATAAAGTTCTTTCTTTATGCATATTTTTCAGAGCCCACTCAACTTCCATTTTTAGAATTAATTCATAATATGCTTCATTATATTGTTTGTTATGATTTTCCAAAATAATTTCTTCCTTAACGAGTATTTTACATGCTTTACTAAACAACCTCTTTTCAAGACTTCTAGCTTTTCTAATATTATTATAAGTCTTAGTAGTATTTACTTTTCGTACTTTTTTAAAACACAATTTTTCCTTAATAATTATTAGTACATCCTCACTCGACCACCAAATCTCCTTAAGGTTCGGCACAAATAAAGAACTCAAATTTACCTTTCTTAGATAATAATTTCTCATCTTTTAAATTCCATCACCTTTATCATAGAGAGATAATTTCTTTTGTCGGTTTTCTTTATACTCTCAAGATAGATATTAATAACTACAGGAATCAAAGGCTTCTAAACCAGTTCATACCACCCACTTCTTAGATGATAAGGATTAAAAACACAAAGTTGGCTTCCTTTTATCTACTGTTTTGTTTCATATAGCCACAAGCAATTCAGCAGGAATGCATGGAGGCTAATGACGATGATGGTGATTATGCCGTGATCTAATATTGACAACTACTGAGGTACATGACCTAGGAATAGTGCTCAGCACGGATAGTTTGATTCAATGGTACAAATTACAGCGTCATCCAAATCATCATGAAATGTATGCTATCTGGAAGCATAGACGGGCCTTAGGGATGCTGCATGGATGTGCTTGTGTAGCTCATTTCACTTAGAATGGCCAAAGGTAGTAGTTGATTCTGGTATCTTATTTGTTTTTCTTATGTTTTGCATTAGATGATTAGAAAATAAATGAAAAAAGCATCCCTTACCTCTTCCATTTATTCTATATGGTCAACATAGCCTAAAAAAGCTCTCTCACGAACTAGTATAAGAAAAGCCAAAACACTCCAAATCCATTGTCAGTTAACAAACAAAGCAGCACCGTCAGTAAATTTAAAATCAGCTTTTCAGAAGACTTCTCCAATAGCAATAAGATCAGTGAAAGAAGCCAAAGCGTTTGTTTGGGATGATTGTAACATTTTGTAAAGATGTTTGTAAAGTTGTTGCGAGGACTGAGGAAAATAATTTTTTTAAATTATTGTGAATATTATATATACATTATATCGAACAACTACTTTCTTAAAGCTACCACATATAAGCAACTTTGGTTGTAAAAAGTAGCTTCTCACCACAAAAATTTTTAGAAAGCAACAAAAAGCAGTAGTCAAATAGAAATGTAGTTGCAGCCGGGAAAAGCAAAGCAATGATAAAACTGTCCCAAACAGACCCTAAGATAGGTTTCTAGCAGCCACCACTTATCATTTTTGCTACTTGCACCTCCATATATTGTTTTGTACTTAAACCGAATTTTACATTTAAGCCCAATTTTCGGTTACCTCCATGCAGCTTCTAAGCGTCTGCTTTATTGCTAAAAGCTTCTATGTAATTGTTGTGAAAGAGTAAACAAAATAGAAATGGTCCAAAAAAAAAAAAAGAATAGATTTAAAATCAAAATTAATGGCGTTAAAATGAATTTCGCTAAATCCTAGAAACTTTTTTAATGAACTACGAAACAAAAGATAATATAAACTCACTTTGTCTTGAAGTCCGTCCTTAAAGCCTTCTAAGAGATAAGTCTACATAAACTATGCTAAGGCACCCTCAATGGATTTCTCCTTGCTAAAACCATCAATGTTCCTTCACAAATATATCTTCAAAGAATCTGAAGTACATAGAACATGTGACATGGGAAAACCCCAAAAACCATAGAGGTAGAAAGACTACAAAAATAGAAACTGGGAAAGAATTTAACAGACATAACATGGCCCTTAATAGGAATAAATAAAATAATAATCCGCAATTCATACCTACATAACTGGACGAAGTCTTATGTGATTGTTATCATCATATGTTGCATGATCAATCAGGATGACTAAAGTACAACATACCAAGGTTCTCTTGTTGTAATAACTACTCTCACCACAGATAGCTAAGTAAGCTGGAGTTGTCCAAACGCAGTTTTTTTAGAACCACAATTGTCACCCTTCTAAGCAAGTCGAGCGCATACCCCTAACAAAGCAACTAACCTTCTCAAATTCTTCCATTATTTAGCACTAGTGCTGCAACACAAACCCTAAACCTAAAAGATGCATAACCACTCGATTGAATTAGCGATTTATATCTCAGCTCCCAACCATGACAATGTGGGTTCTATCCCTGTTCATCCCAACAATGCTTCCTTCTTGGAAAAAAGTTCACCGTGCATTTCATTTGGCTCTTGTATCGAGGGTTTATCCCCTTCAGTAACTCTTCTTAAAAGCTATAACCAAAATTATGCAAATTTTGTAGAATATATGAAATAGATTTCTGTTCTTCAAAAAAAGAAAATACAAGACACATGGAAAAAGCCACAGGCTCCAGAGGAACATCAAAACAACGGCAAGTGACTTGGGCAAGAAAGATAGAAAAATGAAGGAAAATAGTAATATTAGTAAAAATGAATGGAAAATAAAAAAAACAGAAGCAAAACATTCAGCTATGATTAAAGAGGAGGAATCATGCCGCAAAGACAAGTTAAATTCTATAATGCTGAAGGCAATTTTTAAATAATCTTTCTAAACACATCCGAAAACACGCTTGAAACAGAACAAAGAATATCCTTAATGGTTGGTAGACTTACCAATTCCTGTCGGAGCTTAGCGTTCTGTTGAACAGCCAAGTTCTTCTCGTCGGTCAATCTTGATAGTAAATCCGATGCCTGGAGAAACAAATAACAAAATTGAATCTAAAATGTAGGAAAAGTTGTTTGAAAAGAATAAAAAAAAAGTTATTGATATAAGGAATGCTTATATTAATATAATTACTTCTGTTCACTTTCAGAAAGAAAAAACCAAGAAAATCTACTGCATTAAATGTCAAGAATTAAAATAAAAAGTGAGGTATATTTCTTACTGACATAAAAACTTCTAGGAAGTCATATAACATGAGAAATAACAGAGACACGTGAAACAAATCCTGTTTTGTTCTAAAAAAAGAAAACAATATATATGTGTTATAAAGCTATATTATACAAGAAAACAAGTGTATCCTAATAGAACATAGAATTTCTGGTATAAGATGCTGGAAATCACCTCGGGAACTTCTGACTAAGCAATACCAAATACACAAACCAAGATCTTTGCAGCCCATTTTCCATTTTAACCATTCTTCTAATCATATCCTTGCCACTCATACATATTCTTGAAGCACTCGACCATAGACCATACAGCTAGCAGCTGAACATTCTTTCCAATTTCATGTGATGGGCGGAATTATTTTTAAGGCCTTTTTGCTTAAGATGCTTCAAAAAGGCAGAATGAGAAGGTTTTACGAGAAAGCTTTTGCAAGAAGCTAGTGCAAATAAAGTTGGCTGAGTTATATGGAAGCACATGTGGTCCAAATGTTGTATGAAAAGCAATACTAAATTATTTTGTTTGATAATTGTTATTATTATTATAATTAACAAGAAAACTTTTTGAAAAATGTGATGCTGACCTCATAGTGTTTAGATGATGATGATGAAGGGACGTGGCAAACTGAATATTATTTGTTAAGTTTTAGTATTAAATTCTTGGAATTTTGACAAATTTTATGGGATATTATAATTTATATTGATGAGCATAAGTTCCTCATGTATGACTTATTAGTAATTTGATGATAACAATAATTATTCGATGTTATCTACTGTTTGTTAAGTGTTTCTAGAAGTAATTCATTATTGTAGCAACCATGATAATAACAGAGGATGGTGATGCCTCTTGGAAGTAAAACCAACAAACAAAAGAGAAGAAAAGTGTGGGAATACAAAGATAGGATTGATTTTCTTAATTCTCTTTTAATAATAAAGCAATATATAATTGATTTACTATTCAAGAGGTGGATCGGCTCTCCCACAAAATCTAGACACAGCTAGTAACTGACAACAAACACCAGGAAAATAAATTTAGCAATATCATGATACTTAACCTTAATCAAAACTTCCTCTTAAATAATCCTAATCACAATAACACAAATAGAATATTCCTAAACAATTAAACATATTTACGGAAAGCTTCTTAAATAATTAAACATGATTTAGAAAACCTTAAAAAATAATTAAATTTGATTTAGGAAACCTTCCTAAACAATTAAACATATTTTAAAAAACCTTCCTAAATAATTAAACACTTCCTAAATAGCATAAACACAATTAGAAAACTTTCCTAAACAATTCTCCTTTATTTAGGAATCTTCCTAAATATTTTTTCCTTGATTAGAAACTTTCTTAAACAGCTTTCCCTTGATTAGGAACCTTCCTAAACAGCCATAGATTTCACAACTTTGCTAGTGAGATCATGCTTTCCATTTCTATTGAAGTTATAGCATTCAATATTCAAAGGCGTATCCTTGCTTCCAAATTGTTGAAGATTTAAAATTACTGGATTCCAAGTAGGGTTGAGATCATTCTTTATAACTTCTGTCTTATAAATTGGAATAGGAGGCTCAGCATCTGTTGTTCTAGAAATAACCAAGAAAAGATAATTTTTTGAGAAGAAATCCTTATTATCCAAATTTACATGGTGAAATATTATCTCAAAGACCATTTTTCAGCTAAAAGACTCTTCAGTACGAGCAATAAGCTCATATAGCTTTTGAAACCTTTTTCCATGTTCTCTATGGTCTAGTTTAAGGACCAAGGATGTATTAGGTTTAGTGGCAACCTCTGGAAAAAAAAACACAGATAGCTTCACCCATAAATTGCTGCTCATCCAACTTCAGTGTCTTTCCAGGAACGTTATGGAACTGAGAATCTACATAATATAACTGGAACACCAAAAGTTGCAACCACTCAAAACGGACAGTTGGTTCAATCATTGCAACCCGTATAGGATTTAGTGAATTCAATACAACTTCAATTCGACCAATCTCTTCAAGTGTTCCATCTCGTCTCTTTGCATAAACAACAATCATAGGATCACTCTTTGTAAAATCAGGAGATATTGATAACCTAGGATATCTCTTATTATGGACAGATAATCCCTTCCACGTTCCTTTTCTCGTTCCCTCTCCCCCAACATATCCCGACGACATTCCTCTTCGCATATATCAAGTTCTCGATGAAAAGCATCTCTATCATCCTTCTGTTTAGATGGTCATGTGGAATAATGCTCCCTTGGTAGTCAGTTCGATCAGAACCATGAAACTCTTTCCTTGACATATAATCACACCCTGGGGTAAACTTACATCATAAGCAGCATTTGACCCTTGAATATAGTTGAGATCATCAATATTTCACCTCGGAGCTCCTAAAATTGAAGCTGAATGTAGTGCGCCATACTGAGAACTACCAAGAATGGGTAAAATGTGTGGATCTATATCCATTCTTCCACCATACGAGCTAAATTCATGAGAATCGGGATGAATAGGCGCAGCTCTTGCTGTAAGATATTTAGCTTGTTTCACATCAAAACTAGGATGCAGTGACCCTAGGAATGCCACCCTAGAATCGCCACCGCCCCAATAGCTTCTTCCTCCTCCAGTGTAACAGTTGTCGTAATCCCTCCATATTTCCCTCATGTATCGAGGGAACGAATCACACATTTCTTTTGTCCGCCTCTCATGACCCAATCCCCATGGTTTGGCCCATCCCCCTCCTCTGGTCGTCCACTCTCCTTACCCAAAAAGCCTCCCATAGCGGTCGACCACTCCACCTCTCCCACCATTAAACCCCCTTCTTACTGTCGCCCCATCTAGAACCTCTAATTTGCCCCTTATCGGAACCCTAGGAGGTGGTTCTTGATGAAAGAAGCTTTTCTCATCGAACTTTTCACGTCTGATCTCTTTTCTTTAGTTTCGGCCAAGGGAATCCCGGTCAATTCTGGGTTGGGGTTGGCAATTGAAACCATCGATGGAATTTTTTATTGCATCTTCATGAGCTTCCTTATCATCTCCTCCAACCCTCCAAATGGCTTTTCAATAGATGACAACCTTCCTTCAATGGTTGAGAATTTTTTCTCCATTTCGGATTTGATTTGCTTCATCTTACTTTCCAACACCTCCACCTTCTTTGTTGTCATAGACCTCAAAAAAGTACTCTGATACCAATTTGAAGCGTCTTGGAAGTAAAAATAACAAACAAAAGAAAAGAACACCATAGGAATACAAAGCCGGGGCTAATTTTCTAATTTCTCTTTCAATAATAAAGCAAGATACAATTGATCTACTATTCAAGAGGTAGATTGGCTCTCCCACAAATCATAGGCGCCACTAGAAACTCACAAGAAACACTAGAAAAATAAATTCAGCAATATCATCATAGTATCATGCCTCCACCTTAAATAGCCTGGGCCACAATAATACTTATAGAACCTTCCTATACAATTAAATATATTTTAGGAAACCTTCTTAAACAATTAAACATAATTTAGAAAACTTTCCTAAACAACTCCCCTTTGATCAGGAATCTTCATAAATAACTACCCCTTCATTAGGAACTTTCCTAAACATATCCCCCTTGATTAGAATCCTTCTTAAACAGATCCCCCTTCCTAGATGTGCGCCACCCCCCCCCTCCCTCCTCGGGCGTATCAAATAGACTCAGGATGAGCATTCATAAAGACTAGAGTGTAAAAATCTATCAAAAGTTTTGTTTAGAGAATTTGATTGCCAAGCCCGTGAAGGATAGATATCAATGTAAATTGCTCTTGTTGCAGCAAAATAGGTACTCACACTTGTTCTACATATTTGTATGAAAGTTTCTCCACCTACTCTTTGGTGAAGGAGTATATTTAATGATACCTATTGTTAGAAGACTAATAAGCGAGCACAAGGTTTAGCAGTGGATGCAATCATGTTGAGTGTCGCCACATAAAAATCCTACATGCCAAGTTTCCTTTATAGTCTTAGATTTATTTTTTTGTACATTTATTTAATTGTTATTTATAGTTAGATGGTTATGTGGTGATTGTTTCAATGCATGCTTGTTATCTTGTGTCAACAACAACAGCAACAACATCAAGCCTTTATCCCACTACGTGGGGTCGGTTATATATTTTTTTTTTGTCCTATTATGAATCCTCAAGCATGCTCGTTATCTTGTGTCGAGAAAATCAAATTACTTGTGTCCTAAAGTTATTACTTTCACATATAATGTAGATATATTTTCATCACCATTATTACCGCTGTGTGGGGATTTGTTAAGTGGCTTTGGCAGTTGATGTGTTAATGCTATGTTAACTATTATGATTGAGAGTTGAGTAAATCAATAACAATTGTGCTTATTAGTTAAATGCTTGCGCATAGAGCTTAATACTATATTCAGTATCATAAGACACTTGCCTTATAATTGTGTATGTTGATTTTGTTTATTTATCTTGTGCTAATAAGGTGATGCATATAATAAAGTGCTTATTAGCATAACTTGTTGTTCAAACTCAAAATTGTGTATCATATTTGATTTGATTATATATCTATTTATTTTCATGTACTTGATTGTGAGGGTCTTGAGCTTAATAGAATTTCAAAAGTTCAAAAGTATGCTAACAAAGCATGAGCTTGATTTGATGATTTCCAATCAGTCACCTAAATAAATTTCTCCAGCACTGCCTTCTCCAACAGGTTATAAATACAAAGTGATGGTAGAAGATAGAAAGTCAAGTATGAGGTTTACCAAGAAGATGAATTATGCTATGCAGTGTAAAAGGGGGGAAGAGATTAGCAGCTTGACTGATATAAAAAAAAAATGATTGGTCCCTCATTCCATAAATTGCTAGTTCCCTGTTGTTTCAATATCAACCAACTGGGTCCCTTCACCAGAAGACTTCTCTGAAGAGAAAGAGGAAGAAATGGAGATAAGTTGAAGGATTAGGTTGATTGCAAACTGGAACCAAATACTGCATGCCCCTCTACTTCTCTCATTTTTTAATTGTTCCTAATCATCACTTTTGTGTTCCATGAATAGGGCCAGTAAAGATGAGCTAAGAGAAAGGGTCAAATGGAAACCATGGCTAGGTTGCCTCCACTGTGGATCTATAGGTTAAAAGTACAAGTTAGGAAAAAAACCTATCTACAATGTGGATATAAAGCCGTGTACATTAACTTCTCCCCATACCTCAAATTGGTGGGAACTTCAGCACTTGGTTGCACCTAACAATGGGTTGAGATGAGAAAGTGGCAATGAAATGGAAAACAACCTTCTATAATGCAAGGAAAAGGTTGTGTACATCAAACCCTTTTCAAACCTCACATTAATGGGAGTGTCGTGCACTGGGTTACACCAAATAATAGGCTGACAGGAAATAGAGGCATGAAAGTGGAACATGCTGTCTCACCAATCTCGTATTTCCTTCCCTTTTCTTCATTCAGTTTCTCTCGTCCTCCATACCTCTCTTACTAAACCAGTAAAACTGGTGAGCAAAGATCGAAAGAAAAGTGAGATAGTGAAGAATTGGAACCCAAGATTGCATCTCTCTCTCTCTCTCTCTATCGTCTATTCTTCCACTTCTTCCTCATACTCCCCTTCTCTCCTTATATTCCAGGATGATAAAACCGCAAAAAAAAAAAAAAAAAAATCTTCATTCAATGTTCATAGATCATTAAAGCATTAGGTGACCTACCAGGAGAATTCATTCTTGTGGCATAGAAAGACAAAGGTTTTCTATCAAGAACAGATTGAACTTCCTAAAGAAATGCATGATGAACCAATTACTAGCAAGAAAAGTAGTTATAGAGGGGAAAATAAAAATCATAATAACATTCAATAAAAATTATAGATGTGCTTATATCAGATTTCCAAAACATGGTAACATGGTACTTGCTATTTCTAGATGGCATAATCCTGCGAAGATTTATTTTGAAGTATATTTAAAAATAGAACGATGGATGAATTTTTTGAACAATAAAGGACTTAAGGATAGTAATACTAAGGCAAAATATATTATAAATTATTTGAATCTTAAACATTTCTTATTTCATTAATAAATAACAACATAACTAACCAAAGTCACATGATCAAACAAGAACTTATTATGTGCGGAGTTCAGACCGTCCGGACTGTGAGGTACACAGTATGTATAAAAAATTGTGTACAAAGTGTGTACACAATTTTGTATACACATTGTGTACACTCACAGAGTGTGTACACTCATAGTCCGGACGTAACTCTACGTCCGGACTCCGCACATAATATTCTCTCGTCAAATGGAGAGGTGCCCTATTAAACTTTGAGAGAATAGAATTTCATGAAAACTTGGGAATCACTCTTGAAAAATTACCATAAGATCAGGTATATTGTCGAGATCCATGTCTTAGGACAACATGCAAGTTGCTAGCAACCAAAATTAGTGTTCGAATTGGCATTTTTAAGTAAATTAGATAAAAATAGGAAATTTAGAATGAGAAATGATTATATTACAGGAGTAAGCATCGCAAATATCGAAAATAAGGATAGAGGAAATATATCTAAATTATTGGAAGCTGAAGACATGTGAATAAGCCTAGGAGATAGAATAATTGATGGGGTATTGCAATATTATAAATAAATAATGATTTATAAATCTGAAACAAAATAATTAAGAAAAGACTAATTATGATGATAGAACCACTGGTTTAGAAGGGATGCCCATTGTATGGCCCTTCTTCTAATTTGTACATTAACAAAAGAACCAAGCTTCTGTGATTGGCTTCCATTAGAAAGGCGAATGAAAATCCTCAAAGAGTTTGGTCATGTATCAACATCAACAAAATATATAAAAAAATTGTAGTGTTTCAAAAGCAAACTTACCCAACTTCAACACACAACTCATGAATTAGGATTCATAACATATTGGAAATATAGCGTAACAAGCAAGCTTATACAAAGTATTAAGAAACCTCTTCAGCTAAAGGAAAGCTTCCACTTAATTTGAAGGAAAAAGAGACATTACAATAAGAAGAAAAAGGCATAAGCACCCTTTTCATGATGCAAAAATTACAAAGTTTGCAAGTTAGAAATAGATCACTAAAATCATATAGGTAACCTCTAATTAAATTAGTTAAGTTTTTAATATGAAAGAACTCAAAACCAACCTCATAAGATTTTTCTTTTGGCTCAATTGCTGCTGCCCTTGTTGCCTGAACAAAAAATTATGTCAGTCATTGCCTTTACTCACAGAAAGAAATGAAAAAGATTTAGAAATATAATTCCAAAAGCAAATACACTAACAGCAACAAATTCCGAGGATGCAATGTGTCCATTGTCTGACACAGAAGGCCTAGGAGATGAACCTTCCTCAGATCCCTCTGGAACAGGCGAGGGAGGTTGAGGTGGGGAAACATAGACTACACGCAGTTTAACCTCATCCACAGTGTTGCCTGAATCTTTAGAGAACTAAAAAAAAATGCAACAAAACAGCCCAAATTGTAGCCATAGAGTAATCAATTGAACAAAAAACGCAGAGAAATAGAAGTACTATATTCTTCCACACAAAAAAAAGTACCATATCTGCGGAAATGTCCTTCAAAGTGGCACCTTGATTCGTGATTACGCTCTGAACAAGAAACTTATCCTTACTTTGCATGTCCGAAGGAGCTTCTCGTTGCGCCTGCATGGTAACTAATGCAAAACAAGCAAATCCTTATACATGCAATAAGAAAGTAACAAACAATAAGTCGAAGAAGCATCAGGACAGAAATCAATTACCAACAATATCGCATGTGGATCGAGGCAATACAATCCCAGTGTTAGGCCTCACACAGTACTTTTTCGGACTGGTAGTCTTGACCTGAATCATCAACACGCAAAGATCTAATTTGTACCCCATCTCCTAGGGCACGTCATAAAAAACAAGGAAAATACGTAAACAAAACAACAAATTTAAAACCTACCTTGAATGCTATATACTCATTGGTTTTGTTGGTTAAATGGAGAGAACACGAGATCTGCTTCTTTAGCTCGACTTCTCGGATCAAACCAGCCGTAAAAATCAAGTCAGAAGATTTAAAAACCCAACCACCGAAACAGATCGTGCAGAATTTTACAGAAAATTCCTATAAACGGAAGGAAAACCACTAAAACTCACAGGGAAACTGGAGCTCCAGCGGCTCGATTCCGAGCAACTCTCCGGTACTCATGTTGGGACTGATCACTTCCAACGACAGAATTTAAAAAATAAATCAAAACGCAGCAGAGTAAACGAAATTCGCAGAAGCACAGCGCACAGAGAGAGAGAGAGAGAGAGAGAGGACGGACAACTCCTTATGGAGGGATTTGGGAGTTCGCTCTCGATCGAGAGAGGAGAGGCGGAGAGGGCCGCGGAGGAAGGCGGTGAGCGCCTTAAATTCACGGTTATTAATTTACTATTTCGGAATTTTATTTATTTTGCACGAATAATATTAGGTTATTTAATCATATTTTAAAATAATAATAATAATTTAATTACTTATCAGATAATAAATTAAATGTATTAAAATTAAATTTTAGAAATATCATTGTAATAATATATAGTTTATCACCCAACTCTTAATGAAAAGGTTGAAATAAATTTATGTACTTTCAAATTAATTTTGGAGTGCAAGTAATAAATACAAACCTAACCTAATTAATAAAAAATTGCTAATTTTGAAATTATATTGTCTTCAATGATTAATAGATAGATCTTCATAGTAAATCTCAAATTTCTTCTTGATTTTGGATATATTAGCTTGAGAAATATAGATTTCAATCAACCTCAGTACGTAGATATGATAACATTCAATGCACTCCCATAAGTATGATATTTATTGATCGAGGATTCGAGGTGTTTCAGATTCGAGCATAGTAGATGGTTACTGTCTCTTGACTATAGTTCATTCATTATGCTAAGTTCGTTAAAATATAATAATTTAAATTTCAATATTGTTAGAGAATACCAATGTCAAAATCGGCACTTATAAATATTAGTCTCAAGCTAATGTGGGGGACTTTTGGGATCTCGAATCATCTATCTATAAGCTTTAGTGCATTTTGCATCTAAAGCTATAATATTCACTATGTTCCTTTGTTTTTGACGTTGACATCTACGTGGTGGATGAACAACATTTGATTGAACAACTCTAAACTTTGCCTCGTGTCTTATTTTTTATGAATTTTTTTATAATTTCTATCCATCTTTTCCCCTTTAGACTGTAATGTTGATCATAATATATCTCTGAAACTTCACATAACATCATTCTCTCTCATTAATGGTATTAACAAGTTTGTCATTTGTAGTATGTATTACAAGCACTTTCCCATCCATCTCTAATGTCAATTTCTAAATGTTTTCCACAATCACCATCATATGGTGGACCCCATAGGAATAAAATAACATCATTTTATATAAATGACTAATAGGTATCATTTGGTTTGAAGTAGCAGTGGTGTAAAGTATTTTGAATGCAGGGGTATTGAAAAATATTGGTATTTGAACTGCAATAAAAGAAATGCAGAGTTAACAATTAAAATATTTGAAATTAACCCTCTAGTTCAATTTTGGTGTATTTGAAGATAATTATGTTTGATCGATTTTCAAATATACAGTAAACCATTTATCATTATTGTTGTAAGTCGTCATCGCCACCACCATCTACCACTAGGCACCACTATCGCTTATCGCCACCACTGATCACCTATCACATTCTGCCTTCTAACCGCTCGCCACCAGTCTTTGCAGCTGCTATCAATCACCAACTCCATCTACTTTACTAGCCCACCACCCGTCACTGCTCGTTGTTGCTACCATAATCCACCACTAGTTGCCCACTAATCACCACAATATTTAAGTTTTACACTACATTCACTTAACTTCAAGCAAAAAAAAAGTTATCACATCCTTTTATTTTACACCCATCCAAACAATTCCAAACATTTTAAATACACTACAATTCTTTTATACTATATCACATTTTAGTATTTTACTCTGTATTTCTTTTTCACCCAACCCCCTAAGATGATTAATATGAAATGGATGAAATCATGTTGCCAATCAACCTCGACCCTTAAAAAAAATCTTGCTTAGCATTTAAAGGATTTAAATTCGATACTCTTAATGATATGTTGTAATGATTTCTATAATTGAAGCAATGCCTTGAATGACCTCCCCAACAAAAAATTCCTTACCTATTCTAGAAACATTCATATACCTAACTACCTTTTGAACTCCTAAAGAACTCTATGCAAATAATTAATCTCATAATAGCATTCACATAAACATCGTTGAAACTAACCGTCATAGTTAGTCGGGAAAGCTTGAAAATGAAACTATTGATGTCGAGGATGCGCTAGAAGATGCACCTTTGATAGTCATGTGTTGTGTTTTTACTTCCCATGACACTATATTTCATAAGTATGGTGACAAATCATATAAATTAATAATAATAATAATAATTGATACATCGTCAAAAAATTATCTTGATCGGGCACGAATCTCGATGCAGTCCATTCAACCACTCCCTATTCGCCCCTGATCTCACGCCTATTTATGAGCTATGACACTCCAAAAAATCTATAAATAGAGCCCTCATTCTTCTCAAAGGGGGTCGAAGCAAGAAGGGAAGATAAGAAGAGAAGAGGAGAAGAAAAGGAAGAGAAGGAAGAAGCTCCTCCTCGACCACTGACGAAACCTCGCCGGACCACCATAGGAGCTCGCCGGACCACCGTTGGAACCTCGCCGGACCACCACCGGAGCTCGCCGTACCACCACCGGAACCTCACCGGACCATCGTCGGAGCTTCGTTGCACCACCACCTTAAGGCTCGATGTTTCGGCCCGACGTTTTGCTTATGACCCGACGTTCTACTGAAGGCCCGACGCTCTGTTCAAGGCCCAACATTCTACTGAAGGCCCAATGTTCTTCTCAAGGCCCGACGTTCAGGCCCAACGTTCTGCTCAAGGCCTGACATTCTGCTTAAGGCCAGACTACCAACTAACACCCGAACTTCCAGGTGACGCCAGAGTATTATCAAGTGACACCGGGTCTAACATCAGACTCCTATCGAACAGTTATTAGTTGTAATCTGATCGCCCTTGGAGGCGATTCAGCTCTTTGTAACTGACTCAAATTCTAGTGGAATCATATTTTCAACTGGGCTAGGCCCCGTGATTTTTCCCCCTTTTTAAGGGTTTTCCACGTAAAAACTCTGGTGTCTCTTATGAATGCTACACCCTCTCACTTATCTGACTGTGTGCTGGATCTTCGTACAATGCTAAGATGTTAAACTATATATTTCTCTACCGCCGTGAATATTCCAGGACGCAACAATAACAATAATAATAGCTAGATGATTGACATATTATCCCAAATGAAGCACACAATTAAGCCACATCCTCAACCATATAAAGTCGCTTTACATTGGCAAGAAAACCATCACTTTTGCTCAATAATACATGTATTAATCACTTTTTGTTTGATGTCTTGCTCACAGACATATCCAATGTTATGCTTAGTATTCTATATCTATATGACTTAGGTGTCGTTTGGGACGGTTTTCGTTCTATTTCTTAAAGCAGCTTTCTAGTAGACTAGTAGAAAGTTAAAGCTATTAGGGGCCGTTTGGTATTGGATTGGATTTAATTTTAGTGGGATTTAGAAAATCCTGTAAATTCAAATTTAGCAAATCTAGATGATGTTAAATCATGAAAACTGATTGGTATGATGAATGTTAAATCTTGAGAAATTGTTTGGCAATAGATTTTAGAATTTATGACAGCTAGAGATTTAAATATGAAGAAACAACGCTAAATTACATCAATATGCTTGTTATAAATTCAAGATAGCTCCATACCACATAATAAATCAAATATGAGCTCGTATAATAGAAAGGAGTATATGCAAAAAAGAGTACATGACACTATGAAAGAGTAATATTTATCTAGACAACAATAGACTACTATTTGATAGTACAATTCAATATGATAGTGAAGTTGATATATCTTTCATTGAAAGTAACTTCATCATGACGATCGATTTCTTTGGCAATATATCTAAAACAAAAAAAAATCATGAAATTACTACAAAATGTATTCAAAGTTGAAATATTTTAAATGCATAGATAAACTCTTATCCAGACATTCCATAAATCTGTTGTGATGTCATGCCTTATCACTTCTCGCTAAATTATTTCTTCTATTGACGCATGTAAGTTAGGATCCTCATCAAATATTTTGACTTCGCCACATTCATCATCATGCTTCATTTTCATCTACGACATATTGAAATACATACCATGTTCATGATATTGACCTATAAAGTTGTGTAAAACTGCACACACAATAACCAAATCAACTTGAACACTCGAAGGAAACTGTCTCAAGTGCATCAATACTTGAAATCATTCCTTCCAAATTTCAAAAGTCATCTATACCACATCGCGCAATTGGGCATGTCGGTGATTAAATAACTCTTATTGAACTGCATATCTTCTAGATGTACTTTCATGATAGGCAGCTAAGTGATATCGATATCATCAAAATGGTGCAATCAACTTATCAGTGTTTGTATAACTAGAATCATCCAAGTAATAATGATTGTGAGGCACTCTAAACTGACCTTACTCTACAACTCATCTAAGGACATGCATATCCGTAATAGAACCTTCCCCTTAGAGGCCACATACATAAACTGTCGATCAAATGAAACTGAATTCATTGCGTTCTGTGAAGTGAAGCCCTTACTATTATGAAAACGACTTTGTAATTGTTATTAACTAATGCAGGGATATTTCTACCATAAATTACACCAATTGCATTCATGAAGTAAGGGTAAAACTGTGCATTTGAATGTACAAATGGATGACATTCTTCATTTGTCTGGGGTAAATTATTTAGTTCATATGTGAAGGATACAATATCATGCATAACCATATTGAAGTACATGCATATTATTTCCAGTAAATGCTGGAAGAATTCACACAATTGTCTGTAACTAAGTGTGTGCGCCACTCCCCACTAAAAAGAAACCTAGGAATTCTATTGCGAGCATATTTTTGCTGTCATTCAATTGTTCACAACTGACTAGTAGTTCCCTCAAACTGACGAAGGCATTTGAAGGTAACCTGAAGCACTGGTATGCTCTTCCTGGATGGAAAGCAAGCACATCCAGTACATATCAATGTCCCGTATATGTTCTATCAAACATTGGGCCTCTTATTGGTAGTTCTTCATCCAAAGAAGAATTTTCTTGTAGAGTAGGAGTTATTTATTTAATGGCCTCATTATCTGGGTACACTCCACAAATAGTTTGACATAACTGCATAATTAAAATAGTTGTAAATTTAAGTCACTTAATGAGTGGAACAATTATGTGAAATAAATTAGTTTGAAATAATAAATTAGCATCTTACACAACACACGTACATTAAATAAAATTGGCAACATGCACAACATAACTATTTGAAATAAAATTGTAAATTGTACAACACAACTACATGAAAGAAAATTATAAAATGCAGAACATACATACATAAAATAAATTTGCAACATCCACAATACACATACACGAAATTAAATTGGCAAGTTGCACAACACACATATATCATATTGGAGGAAATGGAACTTATACCACCAAACTTTGGAAGCATAGAAATGTGGATGTGAGCTGACAACATATTCTATCCATTTTGTAAGTAGATCCCCTTTCTAAGTCATGAATGTTGTTTTGTTATCCGTGTTTTCCTTAAGTGCATTTTGAACAACCAATAGAGCTTGTGTTGTTAGGTTTTCTAGTTGACCTAACTTAACCAAACAGTCCATCATGGTGTATGGTTCACTATGCTGAATAGTCTCTTTAAAGACCGTTGCATTTTTTGTTTGACTCAACCAATAACTCATTCAAGTTATCAATCCCACTTTTCTTCTTTGGGTGTCTAGTGGATCTGGTTGGTTCTTCACTAAATCGTTTTGATCCTAGCTTAGGACTTGCATCTATGCCTAAGCTAGGTGGCACATCATCTACAACGTCTAGTAGATTTTTGTTGGGGGTCCCTTCCACGTCGTAGCTTACACCATTAACAGCCATGGACTCATCTTCAAAAAGGTAGGGTATCGTCTTCGTCTAAGTTTAACGTTGGTTGTGGTACCTTACTATATCTTGCTCCTGTGCCAATTGTATTGTTCTCGACACATATCTTATCGAAAATATTATACTGATGAAAGAAATGTCTTCAAAATTGGGTTAGCTTTGGGTTAACCTATAATTAGAAAGTTTAGCTGAGTTATTAATATGAATTTATAATTTGTGTGCGCTAATTAATAATAAAACCAGTACCTAACCAATCTCCTCCCACAACTCGTTCGTCGCTAATAGCATGTGTAACTCCTCATCCCAACCCCAATCACTATGATTTGGTAGTTGATAAAGTGTTATGAAGTTAGCTTTCATGTTTCTAAATTGTATCATTACAGAAGATTATGTGTAGTTTTATCCTAGACGCCGGTTCAACGCTGCCCAATAAGCTTGACCATTGTTCCTTCCTCAAATTATCATTACAAAAATTCTCATTTACATATTGTTCCAACAGCAGCTCACCTAGTACAATATTATGCTTTTCTGGCAACTTAGGATTTCGAGTTGTGATTTTTTGTTGGTCTGAGTGAATGGAGATGTCATCACCAGAACGGTGTTAGGTATACTAGGGCTTTCACGTTCACAACATTTCCTTTTAAAAATTTCTGCATTTATGTCAAACATTAACGAGAATACCATTTTCATGAAATTTTAAATCTGTCCAACGTCCAAGTGTAATAATTTTAATTTTTTTTTTAAGTTTTATCAGTTTATTAGAAACAGATAGTGTTCGATGACTCATTATAGCTCACGCATTCTACATGCATATTGACGAAACCTAAATTGTAAGACCATGTTACTGCAAGATAATGGCTAAATGTATATTATGAAATTTTCCTTAAAATAGCTAGTAGATCCACCAACCACTTAATGATATTTGATCATTAAGCCGTTTGATTTACGCAATTTGAAGGTGCGATGAACATACGATAGAACATGTATATATATATATATATATATAGTATTTCCTAACGCTCATAATCTACAACAACAAGCTTACTCATAAAACTCCTCTCAATAATGCAAAATATAATAATCCATGTAAAACATTAAGCTTACATAACTAGCTACAATGATACAAGTTTTCAAAAGTTACTCAAAATAAATATCCAATACCAAACATCCCCTTAATCTGTCTTACAATGATATATCATATAATAGCTATCGTTAGAGCAAAAAATAAAAAGGCATTCATTCATTTACGAAAATTCAAAATAACTATTTGAGTATAACTCACAATACAACTATTTTTGCAAGCAGCACCAAACGAAACATATCAGGTATTTTCAAACATAGGAAAAAGTTTATTCACAACCGAAGGATATGTAGTTTTGAACATAGGAAAAAAAAAAAAGCAGAGCAGTCGCAAGTATAGCAATCAGCCGATGGATACTGTGCAATGACGGATGCTCGCTCGCGGGAATGCATACGAAGAAATGTACCAGGTGGAGGAACACAACAGGCTGAGTAAGGATCAGAGAGGCTAGGGCTTAGGATGAAGGCTAAGCAACTCTGTCATTGATGTACATAACGATTTCATAGGAACTTCACGACAGGGGCATCGTGGAAGAGAGCTGGCACGAATATAAATCTCGTTAAATCCGCCGAATGATGGGATTTATAATTACACGATTTACTTGGATGTGTTGCAAATCCGTAAATCCCATATTTACGTAATCGCGTGATTCACAAGCCCTCCAAAAACCGTTTGGCTGGTTTAAGGTAAATCCTGTTTAAATCTCATGGAAAATTCGATACCAAACATGAGCCCCTTAGGGTCTTGTTTTAAAAAGTTTGAGTCCATAAGTTTTGTAATTGTTGTTTTCGCAATGCATTAGTCAAGCTTTGAAAAGCCTCGTGACATGTCCACGAAAGAATTATTGGTCATTGCAAATTTGCAACTACATGTATGAAGGCTTGTGTGGAAATATCTTCTGATAGTCCCTTAAAGGTGAGGGCAAAGGCAAATAAAATTCTTCGTTGTTGTATGCATGTTTGTACATCCAATAGGGATTCTCTACTTTGGGGTTTTTACGCAAAAGTTTTGAGAATAGACGATTTTTTATTTTATTATTATTATTATTATTATTTTTAGAATAGACGATAATATGACGTGTGATTGCCTAAATGCTGCTAGATAGAAATTTGTGGAGGAGAAGTTTATGGAATGAGATCGGCATCTGGTAGGCCCTCATTTTCTTTAGATGTGATCTAATGAGCTTTGACGTGTGAAAAATAAGATGGTAAATTAGACGATGTTCATAGGCCTCTAATTGATCTTGAGCATCTTATGTTGTAATATCCTTGGATTTTGGGTGTCAAGGGGTTATTATTTTGAACATCAATGGTAATCTGATAAAGAAATTCTTACATGACTGTATAGCTAAGAGGTGGAAGCTTTTGAATAGAACAGACTGGAAAGACCTCCAGTTTGAGTTTTGAGTTCTGCTTCAATTATTGTCCAACACAAACCCAACTCCAATCTCATCAGCGTATGTTCTTTAACCAAAAGTAATGTTTCAGCATTCGCCCTATGATGTCCCTAGATAGTTGTGATGTGAATGTTGTTACAAGTAATCTTTGAATGTTTGAGCATAATTTTTTGTTGTTCATTGCAATACAAAGATGACATTGTCCATATTTTTATTTCTAGCTATGAATGTATGACACATAAATTATATTTATCAAGCTAACTCTAGAATAGTATTTTTTTGTTGATATATCTATAAAAGCTGAAGCATGGTGGCTTCCTCCTATTATGGTTTTAGTGGGTTCCTTAAAAAATATCATTTATATCTCCCTTTATATTATTATTCCAAAATGTTTAAACTTCTTAAGAAAATTCGGTTTTATGTATGATAAATTGTGCAATTACCCTCATTATAAAACTTAAAGCAGATGTTGAGAAAACGCTAAAGATGCCTCGATCAACTATGATATCTTCACTTCTATACATAATATTACCAAATTTTGATAATAATATTTACACCTAATTATACATATAGAGTTTCCTTCATTTGTGTACATAACTATTAGCAACAAGTATCCAAAAAACCCTAAAAGAGAAGAGCTCTCTCTTCATCTGGGAGCACCTTTGTCACCTCCTCCATATCAGCTTCCTTCATCTTTGCCAACAAGAAAATGTACAAACCAGCAAACAAGAGTCCCATACCGATTAAGCTGCGATATTAACAAAATAAACCAAGTAAGATCAATTTAGTCTTAGGAATTTACCGGCGGTTTGTGCAGCCGGAAAACCACCGATAAATTTAGCTGACGAAAAATGGTCGTTGGAATTTCTTTTGATACGCGGTTTATTCCGGCGGTTTTCAAAACGCTAGAAAACCGCCGGAAAACTTATCTCAACCGTCGGAAATGGCCGCCGTTAATTGACCATTTTCCTGTAGTGAATTCATGTCATTAATACCTCCCAAGACTGATGAACTGCTTCAGTATTACTGCTGAAAGAACTGCTGCACAGACTGTTTGTGTGGGATTGAAGGCTGAAACAAAAACTGGTCCTTTTTTATGAACACACATTGTTACTATTGTAGCAGTCAGAAATGACACTGATCCTCCCTATAATAACACAATATTTGAATAAATATTTTATAATTAATATATTTTTAAAACCAAAGAGATGGAGAGAGAAATTATATCATAATACCGCTAACACAGCAGCGATAATGCTTGTGATGCCGAGGCTAGCAGCTCCAGTGCTTATATTGCCTTGCAAGATATACTGAAATATTACAGAAAAAAAAGAGCCTAATATGCCAGATATAGCACCGAGAGAAATCGGTGCAGGAAAATCGGCCATTGTTGTAGCCTGCAAGTTCAAAAACAACGAATGATCACTTCAAATGTATTTGATGCATGTAATAATAATAATAAGGCTTCGTTTGGGACGGTTTTCTTACTGCTTTTCTTAAAGCATTAAAAATAATGCTTTAAGAATCATTAAGAAAGCCGTCTCAAACGAAGCCTAAGTCTGAAAACTTGCCTGTAAAATCATGACACAAGAAAGAACCACAACAGCTGCAAGGAGATAGAGGCAACCAATAATCCAGTCATTAGAGGTGGTATCAATACTGCTCAAATTAGCTCCCATGAACAATATTGATCTTAAATTAGGTGATTCTGCTGGTAAGTTTACAGAATCTGCCTGCATGAAGCTCATGGCCATGGCTCCACTCAAGCACATCAGAGTCCCCATCACCTTATATCTTGTATGCTTGCACTTAATATCAAATTTCTCAATCCTATAATGGCAATTATATACATATATTCTAAGTAAAATATTAATGACACCATAGAAAAATCATCAGTTACCGGCGGCTTTTTCGGACGGTTAAAATAAGTTTTCTGGTGGTTTTGAAAATTTCCGGCGGTTTTCCAGTTTCAAAAACCGCCAGAATAAACCGCATAGGAAAGGGATTATGACGGCCTTTTTCCGGCAGTCAAAACGCAGGCTACCGCCGGTTAATTACCATGGTAATTTATTAGAAGATTATAAAAATATAGTTTTGTTAATCAATATGGTCACCTTAGACAAGAAGCAATGAAGAAGATGAGTCCTGGAGCTAAGTTAGGCATAGCTGTGGCGACTGCTGGGGTTGTCTTCTTTACTCCTATGAGCAAGAGGACTTGGTACAAAGGTGTCCTACATATAATAAATAAATTAGGCATCACAATTCACAAGTTGATTGTAACTAATCATATGACTAATTACAATTAATACCTAATTAAAATGCTATTAGCTACTAATTAAAAACTCACAATTAAGTGGTATTGTAGATGTAAGTTTGTGTTAATGATTGAGAAAAGTAAAAGAAATTTGTTATTAGATTGATAAACTTCTATAATTGCAAATATCATTAATTTTTCATGTGAAAAAAAATTAAAATCTTAATAATTTTATAGCGCTTAGTGTGCCTCGATATTTTAGATAAATTATTATTTTTCCTTCAAAACTATTATAAATGCCCTAAATCCCAAAATAATTAAAAATCTCATCAATAAATATTTTTAAAATTTTAATATTTTATCATCAAAATATATGTTCATATTTTCTTATAAATTCTGGATAAAATAATTCAATCTGTACTTATAAATTTTAAATACATTACTTTCTTTACCAACTTATTATAATAATTTTTTTTATCACTTTTTAATCAAACAAATTCTTTCTCTTCTACAAGATTATCTTTAACTAATTTCCTTATTCAATTGGTCAAGCGACACGTGGCAGCTTCTCCGTAAAATTTGAATTTTTTTATATTAAAAATGATTTTATTTTATTCAACTTTACAAGCAAAAAAAGCATAAAAAAATATTAAAAAAATAATTAATTTTTTTTTTCAACAATGCAGAATCTCCCACCTAAACTAAAATAGAATTCTTTTAGTGGTATGTCCTTATCAATGACATAATCAAAATTTGTCCAAACTTAACCACTTCTACAACCCTCCTAACCATGGTTCAATAGTTAAACCTTTTACTAATTTAATTAAAAAAGGAATTAATTAAATAAGGATATTTAATTAGTTGCATATAATTAATATTTTAACATGAAGCAAAAATATGTGACTTCTAATAAAAATATCACAAAAAATTAATCTCAGTATTTATTTTATTCTAATTTAATATATATCTTAACATTTTATTTTGTAAAATTGTTTTTAATTATTTGTATATCATTTGTAAATAAAATTAAAGCACTTTATATATAAAGTTCTTTAGCTCTCTCTAATTACCTCATATAAAGAATGGGTCATATGATTAGTTTGATAAATTTGGACATAATTCAAAGCATTTTATCTTAGGGTTCATATTTATCATCTATATTATAGATTATATGTTAAATCTTTGATTGCCTTAATAATATCAAAATTGAATGATTTAATACTCGTTAGATTCCTCTTGATGAGCCGCTCGATTCGACAAAAAGCACAAAATTTATGAAAAATGTTTGCTCTCAATTAATGATTATAAGTTTTCAAAATATGTTTCGTGTGTTCGATTTAAGCTTATTTAGGTTTCGGTTGTGATGGCTTTCTTATTGCTTCTTGAAGCAACTTTTTGTACTAGAACGCTGCTTTAAGAAGCAGTAAAAAAGTCGTCCCAAACAAAACCTTAGAGTCAAATCAGATAATTTTTAGTACTATCAGATTCATCTCATCGAGACATTTTGTTAGATTATAAATTTGTTGAAATCAAAATTATGATATTCATAAATTTAAATATGAAACTTTTCAATTTAAATATTACATCTAGATTCATACATATCAAGTAATTTTTTGGAGACTGATCAAACATATTTTTATATACTAGAAAAGAGAGAGGTAAATTTTGAAGTTCAATTTAGAAAAAAAAAAAATAGAAATTTGGTTTAAAAATATGATTAATTATTCATTAAAAAAATAAAAAGAAGTAATTATCACTTTATTTGGGAAAATCTTACCCTCCAACTGCGATTAGAGCAAACCGAATAGTCAAATAGAGTCCTATTTTCTCTGGCCAATTTTTCCTGCACAGAACAATTATTAAATTAGTTAAATAAATATTTAATTATAACTTTATTTATTATTATTATTGATATATATTTAAAGATATTAATATAGGAGAAAATATTGTGATATAATTATTACTATTATTATTTTATAATTTAGGCTTTTTGTTTCATTGATATCGGTTATTTAATAGAGATTGATTTTACCTATTTTTAAATAAAAAAATTACCCAAAAAAATTAAATATTTAAATAGCAAAAATATAAATAATATTAATTAAAAAACATTTAAAAATAAACTAATTCAAACAAAATTAAGCAAAAAAGAAAAAAAAACGCTAAGAAATATTTCTAAAACTAAAAAAAAAAAAAAGCTCTTTCGTTTCTTCAGCTAGAAAAACTTAATGAACATAATACATACCTTTCAAAGAGAATAGCTAAGGGGAGGAGAAGAAAGGCACTGAGGAAGCTACTGGCGGCAACAAGGAAGAGCGGTTGGAGGCCGCCGGCGAGGAACCTGGAGATAAAGACAGTGTAGAAGGCCAAGCTCAATTGAACGCTGATCAAGCTGGTCACCATAATGGCTTCCATCCACCTTCCACCCTTAATCTCTGAGCTTATCTGCATCTCCTCAATCGGAGAGAGAGAGAGAGAGAGAGAGAGAGAGAGTATGAAGGAGAAAGGGAGGAGCGAGTCCTGTG